AGTTGTATCCTTTAGAGCACTTTTTTTCCTCTCTTTTTTGCAACAAAATTTACACATTTTGGGTTTTATTACTCCCATAGTTCTTATTACTTTTTTTGGAAGAGAATTAAACCAAATGTGACAAAACAAAGCAGTCAGTCAAAACAAAAGATGGACATAGTACATGTTGTAAAAACAGAATACAAGGTTATCTACAACGGTTACCATAATGCCTCTTGCTGCCTTAAAATGAATTGCCATATCATTAGGTATAATAAAATTGAACAAAACAGTACAGAACAAGACCAATAAAACCTAACCATTGGAGACCTTACAGGACTTCAAAAGAGGATAATAGTCAAACCAGAATGGGCATTATAGTGAATCTTATTGCCTTCAGAGTAGTTACCTATACCCTCAAACTTGATAATATCAAACAGAACGGAACAGAGTAAAATCAGTCAAAACAAGATAGTGGGAGTAATACAGGGCTTCAAATCAAGTTAATAGGAAATCAAAAAAGCTACTATAATATACTATACTAATATACTATAATATATCCTGCTAATTTTTTTATTTTTTCCCTTAATTTTTTAATTAAATAATAAAAAAATAAATAATTTTTTATAAAAAAGGGGGAGATTGAGATAAAAGAGGACATAATAACATAACAATACAGGTCAAAGCATGATAATTTCAGCAACCTAGAGATTCACCACAAGATAAGCCAACTTAGTAGTAGTTACCATAGTGTCTCTTTCCTTGAAATATTTGAATGTAACTTCGTATACTATAGCATCAAACATATCAAGACAGTGTGAAACCATTCAAGAAGATGAGAGTATTACAGGGTTATTTAGAACCAGCTAACAGAAAATGAACAATGGTTTCTATATTATCTCTTTGCCTATAAAAATTTTTGTTTATACTGTCACATATAATAAAATCCAGTAAGATACAACATGATAAAACCAATGGAGACAGAAGAACAACAGGTGGGACTTCAAAACAAGATGATATTAAATCAGCAGTAGCTATTATGATGTCTTGTTTTCTTCAAAATAGCTGTTCATATCTTTACAGGCAATACTATCAAACAGCCTAGAATAAAGCCATTCCCATTAATGAGTGAAAACTTTATAAGGCTTCAAAGCCACATAATGGGGAATCATGATTACCACACACTTTTATATATTTAAATCATTTCTTACAACAGGGAAACTTTGATATTCATACATGTGAGTTTGATTTATTTCACTTATGAGTATGGTCTCAAGCTGCGTCCATTTATTTGTAAAAAATCTCTGCTTTTTGCAACAGACAGACCCACCAGGACAGAGACAGAGACAGATAGAGAGACAGAGAGAGATCGATCTTTTTAATTTTCTGAGGAGCTGGGTATCAACACTAAGGCTCTGCTGTGCTAGGCAAGCTCTTTACCACTGAGCGACACCCCCAGCCCTAATGTATATTGTTTCAAAAGGTAAAATCATGACCACCCTGAAAATATAAACCGAACCCACGCTAAGGGTTTTAACCAGTTGATCAATTAATGAGCAAATCATGAAGATGTTAAGCTCACAGCAAAGGTCCCTGAGGAGTATGTGCTCGTAATCAGACATTAGGATGTGCAGAGCTATGGACAAAAGTCCTGCAAGGTGATAAATGATAGCATTTCATTTCCTACTGGACAGAAATCATTTGCCTCTTAACCTGGAAAAAATATTTTAACAAAGAATACTGCAACTTCCGTGTGCCAGGACCTTTTTGGTGCTCTTTATAAAATTCTCAGAGGCGACCCTCACCTGTCTTTACCATTGCCCGATTTTCCAGGTGGGCAGCTACATCCACGTGAACCCCCTGCCCGCACCTCCAGGGACAGCACCTCGGGGTGCAGACCAGTGAGGCCGCATGGATCCCTTCTGGCTTCTCGGGGCTCCTTCCTGCTGCCCACAGTAGCGGGCAGAGGACCAAAGAAAGCTTTTGCCTTCCTCTGCTCCAGATGGAAATAAGGGGGTGCCCGCACTCAACCCTGTCTACCCATCAACTCCCGGGTCTGTGGTAGTGAACGAATGGAATGCGTGCCCCAGTGGGCTGTTTGTATCGTGTCATTGAGAGTGCTGAAAGGTTCGCCATCACGGTCCTGGGTGCTGGGCTCTGGGATGCAACAGACATCAAGGACAGGGTGGGTCCTGCTGCTGCATGCTAGCAGGAAAAGGCGATTGTCCATTAGTGAGTTACACTCAAGTGTGATCGGCAGGGACGAGGAAAGATACCGAGAAAGAAAAGCTGAGTGAGCATGAGCTCGGTGAGGGCGTGTCAGGGAATCGGTCCTTCTAAAGAAACGGCATTAGGATGTTTCTAGAAAGAGCTGTGGGGTTTCACTGGGTGAAAAGCTGCTGCCTGTTGTAAGACAGAGGAAACACCGTGTGCAAAGGACCAAACCCCCAAAAGCGTGGCCCTAGTATTGGGCTGATGAGGAAGTGAGACCCACGAGCCGGAAGCGTGGGCAGGAGGGAGTCACACAGGGCTCGGAAGGTTTGGTCTTCATCCAGAGGCAGCTGGGGAGCCACAGAGGAGAGTGGCAAGGGGAGTGGCATGGCTCAAATTTGCATTTCTGAAAACTCAAGTCCTGGGTTATGCTGTGAATAGAACCGTACACGTTTGTTGGCTTGGTAAGATCAAGTACATGGCCTGTAGAAATCTGGTGACTCTCTAACTAGTCCGCTGCTACTGTTATGGCTTGTGTCTGGAGGCCCCCCCCCCCAATCCTCATGTGGCCAAAACTGGGGCTTTTTCAGAGGTGATTGCATCTTGAGGGTGTGATGCTGCGGTTAAGGTGTGTGATACTAGATCAGTCCACTGCTTGGTTTGGCATCGCTCTGATCCTGGCAGCCTGGTTACAACAAAAGGGCAGAGAAGCTTGTCCTGTCCCTTGCTTGTTCTGTCTCCCGCCTGCCGTGAACTGTTTCTCTTCTGTGACGCCCCTCTGCCACGCCATCCTGCCTTGGGGCTGGCCAGTTATGGATTGAGCAAAATAAAACTTAGAGTGTGAGGTATTTTGTCTCAGCACTGAGTGAAATGTAACCAAGACGGCTACCCAATCCTGGGAACTCACTGGGCTCATAAGTAAAAGCTTCACATCGTCCTGCTCAGGTGATGATTTCTGGTTCTCCAAGGAGAAGGAAAGAAATCTTTGCATGCAGGAGTAGCACATCACAATGCACATGCCCATAACTCTTCAGGGTTTTATCTTTTTATAAAAATAAGATAAGATGAGAGCAACAGGAAGGTGACCAGCTTCCCACACTGCACAAAAATCGCCCAGAGCTGATTCTGCTCTTTGACTGCATTTTTTCCAAAAGTGAGTTAAGAAACATTTCAGTTTTTCCTTGGCAAAGATTATCCAACAAAGGCACCATCCACAAAGAGCTAATGCCCAGGTAGTTTAGGGTGCAAAGAAATGAGCAGGCTCTTGTAGTGGGAAGAACTGTGAGCTGATTGAAATCTCGGGCCAGCAAGTGTGACGGTAAAGGTGAGGCCCAGGGGCTTTGCTCTGCCAACTCCCGTGGGGAAGTTATCCACGGCGGGTGGCAGTGAGGGGGTGGCAGATACATAGCTAGAAAGATGATCAGCTCAGCCTTGTTTGTAGAATTCAACCAGGCAGGGTGGCACGTGCCTGCGATCTCAGCACTCGTAAGGCCGAGGCAGGAGGATCATTGCAAGTTTGAGACCAGCCTGGGCTATGAAGCGAGCTCAAGCCAAGCCTGAGCTGCATAATGAGACCCTGCCTCAAAAACACACATGCACACAAAAAGTCGAATTAGCTAAAATGTCAAAAAGCCATGGCACTCTTTAAGAGGACACTGTATTTGTCACCTTTCTGCTGCTGGGACAAAATATCTGACATACACAATTTTTGAGCCAGGGATTGAAATCATGACCTTGTGCTTGCCAGGCAGGCGATTGATTATGTCACTGAGCTAAATCCCCCGCCCTGACATACACAGTTTAAGGAGGGGCCCAAGATTTAGCTCAGCAGTGTAAGCGCCTGCCTGGCAAGTGCGAGGTCACAAGTTAGATCCCTGGTACAAAAAAAGTGGGGAGAGCGATTTGGGCTCATGTTCTCAGAGGTGTTGGTTCTGGCCGGTGGGCTCCAGGGAGGACACCATGGCAGGAAGGGGCGGCAGAGGGAAGCTTCCTGCTTCCTGACCACCAGGAAGGAGAGAGAGAATCAGAGAGGCAGGGGGGCTGGACACCAGGGTGCCCCTCACGTCCTCAGGCGCGCCCCTCCCACACTCAGACCACTTCCTAAGACTGGGACCGGGTGCCCAGCGACCATTCAGGTGCGAAGGGAGAAAAGCTGGTTACTTCAAAGCCAGACAGGAGCACTCCTTCCTGCAATTGCAGTGGCAAGTGTGGATGAGGAGAGGGCTCCACGGTCGCTGGCATTGCAGCTGTGTTCTTTGCAGGGAGGTTAGCTGGTGAAAGCATGAGGGAGGCTGCCTTTTAATTCTGGCTGTGTAACCAGAGCAGGTCACTAACCCCCTGACTCTTGTGCCACTCATTTATGACGAGTATACATATGTGTGTGTATCAACCCATTTAATTCTCATAACAATCTCATGAAGTATTATTATTCTTCCCATTCTACAGATGAAGAAACTGAGGCCCAGAGAGTAGGGTTGAGGGTAGCTAATGTCTCAGCCCAATAACATGCTACTTCAGATTCAACCCGACTATGTGCTGTGCTGCCCTCCACTGTATAACTATGGGGGGTCACAGCTTCCACACATTAAAAAGGACCCTGATAGCATATGAGGGCTGCTCGGCATGGTCCCAGGGTGCAGGTGCACCTTCCCAGCAGATGTGGCCCAAGGATGGGGAGGAGCAGAGCAGGGGCCAAGGGCAGGGGAGAAAGGAGACCGAAGCTGTGCGTGTCCGAGGGGCTCTAAGTGGCACTGGTGTAGGGGACAGCAGATGACGGCGACCCAGCAGATTCTCTTCCCCTCCCCCCACAGACCCTCCTGGCCAGAGCGCTGTACAACAACCACCCGGACTGCTCGGACGAGCTGGCCTTCTGCAGAGGCGACATCCTGACCATCCTGGAGCAGCACGTGCCGGACAGCGAGGGCTGGTGGAGGTGTCTGCTGCACGGCAAGCAAGGCCTGGCCCCCGCCAACCGCCTGCAGATCCTCACGGAGGCCCCGGGAGACCCACCGTGTCCCCCTCTCAGCTGCACCCCCCCAGGCTCGGAGGAGGCCTACCAGGTGCCCGCATCCCCACGCTCCTCGCCTCCGGGGCCCATATACGAGCCCATGAGGAGCTGGGTGGAGCCACCCACCGCCCAAGTCTACGAGTTCCCAGACCTGCCCTCCAGAGCCAGGATCATCTGTGAGAAGACGCTGACCTTTCCACAGCAGGTGAGTGTTCCTCGCAAGGGAAGGAAGGACAGGGAGGGCCGGGGCACAGGACCCCCCAGCCTGCTCTGTACCGCCGGTCACTGCTGTCCCTCGGACCCATGTGCGGTGGGACTTCCGAGGATGGATAGCCAGGGTGGGCAGCTTGTGCACTTGGCCCTGACTCTGGGCACCACTGTGCCTACCTGGCTCAGGGATACATTAAGGGCTGAGTGGATCTGTGTGTGAGAACGTGGTATGATCACTCATGGTGGCCTCTACAAACCACAGAGATCACTAGGACTGCAAGTGACCAGTGACCAGCGACGGGGCTGGATTTCCGACGGGGCAAGAAGCTACTGATTGCATTTTAAACGTGCATGTGCATGCACATGTGTGTCAGAGGTGGGGTAGCTCCATAGATGTTGGTGATCACCAGTGAGCTATGCAATTGTTAAAAAAAAAAAAAAAAAAAGACGAGGTATTTATAAGAGGAAAGAAAGGGCTCCTGAACCAAAGACCACATGAACAGAACCTCAAAAGCACTATGCGAGGATCCCCCCCACCCCAGTGTGGTTGCCCTGGTGAGCAGCTTAGGCCAAGGAGAAGTGAAAGGGGGCAGTGGGGACTCTTGTTTTACTGTCCCTGTGTCCCTAGCACTCAGGGCCAAGCCTCGTACAAGGTGAGTGCTGGAAAAGTGTGTCCCGGACAGACACATCAGGAGCTGGATTTCCATGATGCATGGAACGGGTATGAAATCTGTAATGTTTATAATATCAGGGTTTTTTCAAGGAGCTCTTGGTAAAGGCAGAATAGAAAAATAAGGAAAGGAATTAAAAGAAGGAGAAGGAGAACCCAGCGCTCCGCGAAGCCTTGGCCTCTGCGAGGTGCGAGGGAGGCAGAGCAGCTGGCTGGGGCCCTGCAGGCATTTCCTGGCGCCACGCTCTGCTCTCAGCTCAGGGACACAGCCCAGCCGGCCACCGCCCAGCAGAGGTCCTGGCGGGGTGCGAGTCTGGGGGACAGCTGCTGCCCCAGTGTGTAAGGTGTGGTTTAAAAATACAATGAATATTTACATTTTTAAAACTCTGATGCAGTGAAAGAGGCATGCCCTTTAATTCCCAGAACGGTCCCCCTCATTCCTACCCCAGGAGACCCCCCATCATTCCTAGCATTCCTGGAACAGTCTAGAAGGCCTCTTTCCTATCTCACAAAACACCATCAGAAACACGACGGATTCTGCGCTGCCTGCCGTCCTCCGGGAAGGCCGGCTCTCAACGCGGTGCAGTTTTATCCCCCATTTACCGCTGTGGCACCATGCTTCTCCTGGCTGTTCCCCACAGTAGAAGGGACCCTGAATGGCAAACCTTTTGAATCTATGCAAGTCTACACGTGAGGCAGCCACAGGATGTAACAAAAGGTGCTCCCAACAGCAGACTTCCCGGACGGCTCGGGAAGAGGCGTGTTTGAAGAGAGGGGCGTGTTTTGAGGGGGTTCATGGCCACGTGTCTTTACTGGAATACATTTTTTAAAATGTAGACATTCACCCTCTTTTTTGATTACCCCGAATCCATGCAGGGCAGGGTGCCCCAGGAATGAGCTGCTCCCCACTCAGGGCAGAAGGTGTGGATTCCTTCACAAAAGACTTGGCACCATTCAGATTGTCTAGCTCCAGGGCCCAGGAGGAAGCTGCGGAGCCCAAGGCTGGGCCCTACCCGCTCTCCTGGGGCGGCCGGCCTGCTCTCCACCTGGCCACCCAGCTGCTGTCTGCACGGCTGCCTCTGTGCAGGGACTTGGTGGTGTTTCTTCTAGGAACAAGTGATACTGGCTGAAGTTAACCAAACAGTGGGGCCATTTCCCCCTTTCCCTAAAGGGAAGACGGATGTGGTGTGGGCCAGGCACCCGAGCACTGGGCACAGTACCGAGCTCCGGGGGTGCTGGGTAAGACTGGGCTGAGTGAAGGAAGGGAGCCCAGCTGCCCGAAGCTGCAGAGACTCAGCCTCCACTGCCGGCTGCTGCCTGGGTGAAGGGGAGGAAGAGTCCACCTCCCAGGCTTAGCGAGCCAGACTGTCCCATCTGCTGGGACCCAAAGTGTGGCAGCCCGGGAGGCCTCCCTGGGGGCCTGCAGCCGCCAAGAGGAACCACAGCTTCCGAGGGGAATTCAGAGTCCCGGCTCACTGAGGGGGTGCTGAGGGGCCACGGGAAAACACCTGGGAACTGTCCCGCCTCGCTTTCCGTTTTGAAGTCCCCTCCTTGTGTGCCCGAGCTACATTTTTGCCCTTTTTCATTTCCTTCCTTCTTTCCCTTTCTTTCTGTTCTCTTCCTTTGAGGGCCCAGTGGCCTGGTTTCGTTGGCTGTTGGAATCAGCACTGTCACTCTAGAGCCATGGGAAGGGACGGCTTGACGTCCTCTGTGAATCTCTTTCCTCCTCCCTACCAGGAGGTTGGACCTCTCATTTCCAGGGTCCCCTCAACGTGGTTTTGAATAACTGGCTTTAACAGGGAGGGATATTCTGGGTGCAGAATAGTTATCATCAGCTGAGAATCTTCTGGCCACAGGAAAGGAAGGCGCAGGAAATACAGTCCAGTACCTGGGGTCATTGATAGACCCAGGGAAATCCCGCCACTGGCTTCAAAGTGCTTCCCAATGGGGGGTCACAGGCTTGGGTCACAGCAGGCAGGAGACTCCGTTCATAGACTCTTTTGTACTTGGTCATCTCTAGATTTGGAGTGGCCCCAAATTAAAAGCCAAGATAGAAGGGACATGTGGCTTTTCTCAAGCTGTCCTGAGACGTACCTATGTCACCAGACCTGGAAGTGACTCTGTGGACCTATAGATTAGAACAATTTCACATTTTTCAGGTTGGGAAACTGATCCTGGGGCAGAAAACTGTCCCCATCCATCAGCCTTGCCCCGAAGGCAGGGCCCTCCCCCACCACCTCGGGCCGCCCCTCGTCTCCTCTCCCTTTGTGGGACCAAAACTCTTCTCTATCTGGTTTTGGTTGAAGTCTCACCGTCAGGTCCTGAGCGGGGGAGCGCTTGCCTAGGACATGGAAAGCCCTAGCACCCCAAATAAAAAGTCAATAAAGCCAGCTCCCCAGCACCGCCTTCCTGGGCCTCCTCCTGGTTACTTCCCCCCGGGGTGACCACTGTCCCGAGCTTTGTGTTACTTTCATTTTTACTTCCTTAATCCACCACGTGGGCCTGATCTAAAGGAAAGTGGAGCACATAAGAACATGCTAGAATCCGGGCTACATGCTAAGAGGAGACTTTGGTACTTGAAGTGCGAAGACCTGGTTTTCCTGATGAAGTTGCCTTTGGACCCGCTAGCTACTAAGCCGGGTTCCTCCTGGCTCCCCAGCCTTTCAAAAGCACACTTCTTGACATGTTCCTTAATCCACTGGTGCATGGAACCTACGTGTTTCCAAGAAGCTGGGAACTTTTGAAGTGGCGTCTTTCCATCTGCTACATCACTTTAGGAAAGTCCCTTGGCCCTCTGGCTGTGCTCCTGCCACCACATGAGGCCACATACTCAGGGGGGGCCCAAAGTCCCTGGGGAGCATCGGGTCAGGGGGCAGCGTTGGACAGGGTCTTCTCTGGGTGTGCTGGGCCAAATGGAGCCTGGTCGCCTGTGGGGAAGGATGCTCTCATGTGACCCCTAGACCTGGAAGGCTTCTCAGGCTCGTTAAGCAACTTGGGTTTAATTGAACATCCAGTGGGGACCATTGATGGTGTGTCTATGTCAGACAGTCAGCCTGAGACCACCAGGGACAGAGCCAGGGTCACAGCTCATGATGAGGAAGGTGGCAGGCAGGGCAGAGAGCCCTGAGATACCTCACAAACAGGAAGAAGTCATCTACTTACGGAATTTAGGGGAAAGCAGGATTCAGGCGAGATGGGATGAAAAGCCCACCAGGGCAGGCTCAGAGGTCAGCGTCAGCCTGGGCCGCATGGTCTTCTCTTGGAAACTACACAACAGAGACAGAGACGAGCGGGATGCTGCACCTGCATCCCCCTTATCGGAAGCTCTGCCTGGGGTATCCTGCGTCCATCACTCAGATCCTCCGGGTGTAGTGAGAGGTCACCTGACCAACTCTAGGACCTTAACGAGCAGTGCTGCCAGAGCCCAGGACTGTAGAGGACCCTGTTCCTTCATAAAAAAGCAGCTGTCACTCAGAGGGAGGGCTCTGTTTTGACACCTGACAGCTGCATTTTGTCCTTGGGAGACACGCGTGTCCTGTGGGCTTTGCAGCTGCTTTGTCTGCACCTGTGATTCCAGCCTGATGAACGGCCATGTGGGTTTTTATATCCCACACCAGTTTTTACTGTCCTGAGCTGGACACATTCATTCACCAAAACCCAACAAATAAATGTGCGAGGTTCTGGGGACCCCATGGTGAACGGAGGGACCCTGGCCTTGTCCTCCTGTGAATCCTCACCCCCGCCCCCACTCCAGCTGGAAAGCCCCTGCTCGTTGACACGCCCCGTGGGTTCCAGGTGGGGGACGGTCCTTCCTTTCCTAGGCTCTCAGGACTTCATCTTTTCCTCTTTCCAGCCCCGTCTTGAGGCCCACAGCCTGTGGCTTAGATGTACTCAAATTGTACTTGCTTCCCCCTGTATTCACTGCCCTATAAAAGGGAAGGAAAAAGCCTCAGCCTTTGCCAGGCGCCTCCTAGAGGTGACCTGATTGCAGAGGTCTGAGGCGGGACCTGCGGGATTCTGTAGTTCATCGGAGATTTCAGATCTCCACTCCAGAGTGAGGGCCACTACCCTGTGGTATGCAGCGTGGTCCCCCAGGTAGAGCTGACGGCAGCGAGTGCTAAAGAGTTATCTAGAACCTCCAGTTCTGTGCACAGGCGCAGACCCCAGGGCAACGGCATAAGCAGTCAGTGCACAAGAGCTCCCGGTACAGTCAGCGTGACTCCGGCTCCTTCATGGGCCTCCCTGGCTCCGCCGTTGCCCTTTCCCCTGCTTGCTCAATCCCCTCTGTTCCTCTCAATCACTCCTCATCGAGGTCTCCTCACCTCCCACTCCTGACAGCCAGATCTGTCATGCACGGCTTCTCTGGTCACCTCTGACTCCCCAGCGGTCGTCATCCCAAGTGGCACATCTGTGGGCCTGCTCCCCAGCCCCCTGAGCGCCTCCAGTACGCTCTGGAAGCCCGCTCCTGGGTGAATACACAAACAAAGGGCCCGGTGTTGGACTTCTAGCCACCCAATGTGGAGATTCACAGTCACCCAAAGAGCTTGTTTCCATGACTTGGGCCCCTTCAGTGCGCAGATATTCGCAAGGTGCAGAACCAGGAATCCGCGCTCTGCCTGCTTCCTCTGAGGGAGAAGCATGTGGCCGTGCTGAAGGCTGCCCTGCACCCTGGGCCTCCTGCCGGCTATGCCCAGGCTCCAGTGTGAAGGCTCTGCCCACCGGTGGTGCCAGGCAAACCCAACAAGCTGTATTTGTGTTGGAGCCGTAACAGGGACCATGCTTTCGGTGATGGTTAGCATGATATTCTCTTTCCCCTTCTCTTTCTCTCTCCAAGACCCTCTTCGTGCTTCCCAGACCTGTGAGGGCCTCGATGCCAGCACTGCCTTCCCAGGTGTACGATGTACCTGCCCATGGCCGGCCCTGCTTGGTCCTTAAGGTGAGCCTTGGTCAGCCACACTGCCCTCTACCCCGGCCTCCAAGCCACAGAACCTGGGATCAGGGCATCACACATTTCAGCTTCACTGAGGAGCTTTTCAGGGGCTTGGTCTGCTGTTCCTTTAGGGACACTACCAGCTGGGAACCTCCCTGTGGGCGGAGCTCAGAACACTGAGGCACCCCTATAATCCCAGCACTCAGCAGGCTGAGGCAGGAGGACCACCACGAGCTTGAGGTCACCTGGGCTACATAGTGAGACCCTGTGCCACGCTGGAAAGAGAAAAAAACCCTTTACTTCTGTTTTTAATGGTGTTAGAGATTGAAGCCATGGCTTTCCTGCCAAGTGTCGGGACACTTTTTATTTTTGTTATTTTGAGACCGGTTGGACTAAGTTGCTTGATTGTCCAGTTAGACTGGAACTTCCATTCCTCCTGCTCATCAGCCTTTCACTCATGGCAGGCCAGGGCTCCTGCTGTGTCTGTCTGCGAGCAGGCCCTGACCCAGGGTCCCGCAGTGTGAGCTGAGGACGGGCTCACCCCGTAATGTTTCTCTCACTCCGACATGTGAATGGCCTGGAAGAGCCCCTCCCAATGCGCACCACCCCGTGATGTTTTTCAGAAAACTATCCTACAATGCCACTGCATGTTTAAGGACCTCCCCATGCTACCACCCCCTGGTGCTTTTCTCCCTCTCCAAGGGCTCTCCACAGCTCCTTGTCGAGAGCTGGCACGGAGACTTTGTGTTCTCTGAGCGCTCTCAGACCCAGAGGGTTTCTGACGGTGTGGAGAGGGTGCGAGGGAGAAAGGCCCCGAGAGCCTGGCTTCCAGGGAGCGGGTACAGGTGCAGGAGGACAGCGGTGGGTCCAGCACGCTGGCTCCGCTGAAGCCACCCCCGCCCCGCCTCCTGGCCAAGCACGCTTCACCTGCCAGCCCCACCGAGAGGTGCATGTGCCCACTCTGCCTGCACCTTCTCCCTTCACTCCAGGCAGGACGGTCACCTCCAGGCACCCTCCTGAGAGTCCCTCATGCCTGGTCCCGCAGGCCCCTCATCAGGTCCCCAGAAAACTCACAGCCTCCCTTATCCGTGAACGACCCCGGGAGCACCGGCAGCTGCTCCAGGAGCACACACCCTTGTACAGCTGGCCTCATTCGCCTGGCCCTACCCTGGCCCTGTCCGAGTGCTGTGTTTATTTGAAATTCTGATAATTTGTTCATCCCCATTTTTGCATTCATTGTGATTTTTTTAAAATATTGCCCTATAAACATGGTTTCTGTTGCCCAAGGCAAGGGCTTTGCTTTGCTTACCCTGGTCCTGGCCCCCAGGGTAGGCTGTTGGTCTGCTTGGTCACTACACACATACATATTAGGTGCATCTCAAGCCACTGAAGGAACTTTGGTGGGAAAGTGACGATCAGCTTCCAACAAGCACACTTACTAAGTCCTCAGCATGTATGTGTTTGTCCCAAAATGTCACCTAAAGCCTTTTTTTTTTTTTTTTTTTTTTTTTTACTGTCAGTTTTGCATGCATTCAACATCGTTTGGCCTAGTGTTTAGTATGGAGTAGGCACTCAGTAAACATTTTCAGGACAAATATATGAGCATACACATAGGAGAATTGCTACTGAGAGATTCAAGGGAGAAGGGAGATGTGTGCGGCACCGAGGCCGTTTTTCCTCGGGCTTCATGAACTCCCTCTGGATGAGCTGTCAGTTTAACACGGCACCTGCACTGGGCGCTCTAAGGCTGTCCCATCTTTGGAGCAGGATTTCTTCTAAAGCTCCAAGCCCTTCGTTGAATGTTCCCACACTACAGCTTAGAGGCTTCCTCCTGAAGAGGAGCTTGACTGAGAACCCTGAAGGGCTCTGGGATTTGGGGTTTTTCTTTGGCAAAAACACTGGAGAGTGGAGAGTTTGTGATGGTAGGAAGGAAGGAAGAACCTAAGTGATCCTGCTGTTTATCCTTCCCCAGGAGCCAGAGAAGCACCAGTTATACGATATACCAACCAGCAACCAGAAGGCAGCCTTCCAGCCCCCATGCAAACGAGAAAGCGTGAGTACAAGCAGATGTCAAGATGTGGTGCTGTGGAAACTAGTGTCCACTGGGAGGTTTGATCAGCTTGATGTGTTAGTCAGCTCTCCATCACTGTGACAGACTGCCCGAGACAAATGACTTATAAGGAGAAAAGGTTTACGTGGTTGATGGATTCAGATGTTTCAGCCCATGGCATGGCCCACAGCAGTGCAGGACATCATGGTGGGAGTGTGCACAGGAGCAAGGGTATTCACCTCATGACGGTCAATCTGCAGAGAGAAAGGGGAAGGCACTGGGTCCCAAATCCCCTTCAGGGCACCTCTGATGACATCCCCCAACTAGAACCTCTTAATGTTCCACCACCTCCCAATAGCATCACAGGCTGGACACCAAGGTTTCAGCACACAAAACTTTCAGGAGCATTTCAGATCCAACCTGCAGAACTCAATCAAAAAATCAGAATGCAAATTCCTCTTGGCGAAGTCTCACCTTCAAGGCAAAATCCCTAACTGCACTGGTATTTATTTAATTATTTAGAGACAGGCTCTCACAGTGTAGTTCAACCGGCTTTGAACTCACTAGATAGTCCAAGCTGGCCTTGAACTCATGGTGATCCTCCTGCCTCAGCCTCCCAAGTGCTGGTGTTCATGAATAGGATTGGTTATGTGGCTTGACAGTCATTGAACTTCTCCATGTTTCAGTGTCTTACTTCTTACTGGGGAAAATGAAGCAGGATATTCATAGCAAAGCACCCAGAGCAATCCCTGGCACAGATCAAGAGCTCAGCAGGTGTCAAATAATTGCTTCTGACCTGAGTCCCCTCACAGATGCACTGTGGTAAAGCGTGCTTTGGTTTGGGTGTAAACCCCACTTGCTTCTTTGTAATCCATACCGATCATTAGATTCTACCACACGTGCTATAGCTACACTTACACCCAAGGTTACTGGGGGAACCTTACAAAAGAGGTGGCATCTCAGTGTTGTGAGGGATGCGTAGGAGTTTGTTAGATGGAAAGGAAAGATTGGAAGAGCAATCAGGGCAAAAGGACCCGTTCAGGCAAAGTGAAACGCAGTGGCATAAGTATTCTGCACCCCGGGCGTGGCAGGGATGAGATGGTGGACATGGAGAGGAGGCTAGGAGCTACGCAGAGATAGCTGGGAGCGTCTGAGTGCCATGGAAGGACTGGAGCAGGGAGCCGTGGACTTTAACCAATACTGAAATGTACTTTGCTTTGTTGGTTTTGTTGGAATTTTGAGACAGGCCCTCTGTAAGCTACTCACTTGCCCAGGCTGGGCTTGAACTTGCAATCCTGCTGTCTCAGGCTCCTGGAAAGAGGAAGGGCTCCCGTCAGCCCTTCCTTTGTTGTACTACACTGGGGCAACTTTGTGTGGTTTTTTCACAGGGACAGAGCAGTCTGCTGAGCGCAGACTTCAGAAGAGGCGGCTACAACACCTTACCAAGCCCGCAGAAGTCAGACTGGATTTATGACATGCCAGTGTCTCCGGGAAAGGCCAGTGTCAGGGATGCGTCTCTAGCCAGCTTCACCAAAGCATCGAAGCCAACTGCTGCCCCCGAGGCCAGACCAGCCACCCACAGCGCCCTGTGCGGCAGAGGCAGGGGCCTCGGTCCACCGTGTAAGGACGCACCCATGCAGAAAACGCCCACCCTTCCGGAAACCACTTCCCACACCTTCCCCACACCTGGGAACCCAGGCCCTTCAGATGCAAGTGTCAGCTACGAGGTGCCTCTGAGCTTTCTGATTCCCCGGCTGGAGCAGCAGAACACCAAGCCCAACATTTACGACATCCCTAAAGCAGTATCCAGTCTACCTCTGGCTGAGAAAGAGTTTCAAAAAGCCAAGGAGGCTCCAGAGAATCCTGCGGGCCTCCAGCCCGGCCAGATCTCGGGCTGGACAGCCTCCCTCTCTCCAGAGCTGGACAGACTGTCTGTCTCCAGCTCCGACAGCAGGGCCAGTGTCATCTCTTCCTGCTCCTCTGCATCCACCGACTCCTGCTCCAGCTCCTCTGCAGAGGAGCCTGCCAAGGAGCATTGGCTGGACGCGGACATGGCCAGAGAGATGGCGATGGCTCTGCAGCACGAGGTGGTCAGCTCTGCCACAGGCCTGCTGCTCTTCGTAAGCAGGAGCTGGAGGCTCAGGGACTCGCTGGAGGCCAACATCCACGCCATCCACAGGGCTGCAGACCACATAGAGGGAGCCTTGAGACAGTTCCTGGATTTTGCCCAAGGCGTTCACGGGATCGCCTGCAACCTCAACAACAGTCACCTTCAGGCTAGAATTCGGGATCAGCTGCGGACCATCTCCAACTCCTACCAGAGCCTGCTGGAGGCCAAGGAGTCCCTGGACAGCTGCAAGTGGTCCCTCGACGTCCTTTCCATGGACAAAGTCCAAAACACCATAGATGACCTTGAGAGGTGTGTCGTTGTGGCACGGAATGTTCCAGAAGATGTCAAGAGGTTTGTGTCTATTGTCATTGCTAATGGGAGGCTCCTTTTTAAGCAGAACTGTGAGAAAGAAGATCTTGTGCGGTTGTCCCCAAATGCAGAATTTAAATGTGCAAAATGGGTCCAGCTTCCCCAGAAAGAAATGGAATCCTACCAAAAGAATACTCCTCCTGCTACACGGAAGGAAAATGGACACTCCCCTCCGCCGGCACTGACAGACAGTGAACAGGTGAGTAGAGTCCATAACGATGTGACAAGGGGGTCACCAGTAGCCAGCAAGTCACCACTAGGTGAGATACCAAGAGCTTTTATCAGCGGTATGTTGGCTCTGGAGAGACCCGGAGAAACTGGTTCCATTTCCCAGTCAGTCAATCAATCAGTCATCACGAAAGTAAACTCTGGGATGGATCTTATTAACAAGTCAGATAATCATTTTCATATTAAGGCAGATAGAACAGACTCATATTTGGATTTCCTGCAGAAATATTTGGGGCTCAGGTTTACCCAGCGAAGCTAGACTTGGCAAGGATTTTAGAAATCTTCTAGAAATCCATTCGTCGAAGCCAGGAGAGGTGACACACACCTGTAATCCCAGCAGCCAAGGAGCTGAAGCAGGGGAATCATCCGTTCAAGTCTGAACACTTTCTTGAGAACCTGTCTCCAAAGAAAAGGAGATCTGGCTGTTGAGTAGACTTTAAAATCTTATTACTATCAGCTTTCCTGGCATTTATGAAAGTTACAACTTTAGTCCTAGTGACAGCAAAGCAGGTGGTGATGCAAGAGCCCAAATCTGAACGCTTTTAATTTTCTTGATACACAGATGTCATGTTTTAAACTATGTGAGCCATTATGTGAAGCCACATTGGTAGGCAAAACTCAGCCCTCGGGCTGCCAAAATCTCTTTTGGTCGAAGAAGGCATTATTAGTCAGAGCCGTGAACAAGAAGATAAGGAGAGAACCAGACGCTTTAATGTGAATTTAAACAGTTATACTGCAAAGGCAAACAGAAACACAGAAACGACACCCAGGATTTGGAGGCAGATATATTTAACATCACATGGACACTGACTAGGAATCAATTGTTCCTCAAGATGTCAGGCCCCGGAGGCTCAGGGAGGGAGGTTTTTATGGGGTCAGCAGAGGCAGAGTGCTGGCTGTCTTTCATTGGTTCTCACGATGAGCATCACAGTGACTGCCCGTTTCTAGGAGACAGAAGCATCTGAACTGCAACAGGAACTGTTTCCTTGGCAACTAAGAAACTGACCTATACTGGTGTCTTCTGTTACAATACCGTAATCTAAAACCATTCAAGCTGGTCACTTAAAGGAACTTTATTTTACAGATGTTACCTGGGCTGGAAGAGAAAGAAAAGTCAGATGAAAACAAGAACGTAGGGCCCGTGGTAAGTGCCACACCCACTCTCTGACTCCTGAAGCGTGCGATTTGTCCCTAGAGTTGCCTCTCTGGGCTGCAGAAAATTCACTGTCACAGCATGATTGCATGGGGGAGGCTTGGCATTTACTCTTTCAGCAGTGGAAGGAACCCCAGGGGCGCAGTGTGCCAAGGGTCACCCTTTAACCATCAGCAAAAGCGTCTGCTGCACTGCCCGGTGCACCGTGGGCAGTGCCACCGTGGGTCAGGTGACATTTTCATGCTTCTGTTTGTGGTGGCAACAATAAAAACAGCTGGGTTTGTGTACCTTTAGCACCTCTGGGACACTATATCTACTTTTTTAAAATCCAGGATATTATCCTTGGCTTAGTTTTATAGCTGTCTCCTCTGTGGGATAGTAGCCTTACCTTTATCAATGTTTAAAGTTTCCTCTAAATTAATGAAAGGAAACAATGAGTCCATGTCTTGGTTACTTTTCTCTTGTGCTGGGACAAAATACCTGACACCCAAAATGAAGGGAAGAAAGGTTTATTTAGTTTACAGTTATTGGAGGTCTCAGACCATAACCAGCTGGCTCCAAGGCAGGGTGGCTTGGCACAGGGGCAGCACCTCAAGGCAGCAGCCATCAAAAGCAGCCAGAGCAAAAAGGGGGGCAGAGCAAGCCTCTTCTCCTCCTCCCGTGTATTATACACAGGCCACCCCTTCTCCAGGGCATGCATAGCTCTCACAAAATCCCCCTGCCCTCCTCCTGCACAGGATGAGGATATTTACAAAGGAAGGATCCTGGCTTCCTGCTGAGTCTCTTAGTTAAACTTCTAAACTTCTCACATTGACACAGTGTGTCAAACACAGCAGCCCTTTAAAGACAAAGTGTGAACAGCAGATGTCAAAGAGATGAGGAAGAAGGGTAAACAAGTTGTGAAATCTGTCTTTGAATGACTGATGCTTGACAAACAGCCAATGAATTCCACAATGCAGACCTCGGGCTAGTGGGGTGGATGAGCGAAGTACAGAGAGGCCCCACGCCTCACCTGAGGTCATAAGCCTGCTCCGAGGCCAACTGAGGCAAGAACCCAGGCCTGCTCGTGCCTGGCTCCCAAGCCCCAAATCCTGAGCTTTGGGCTTGCCGTCTTGCTGAGTCAGGGGTGTTGTTCAGTTTTCTGGGAACCTTGCCTTGGACCTGTGGATCTCAAACTTGAGGGTACATCACAATCACCTGCCGGGCTCGCTAAAACCCCAGAGGCTCAGCCCACTGCAAGCCTGCCCTACAGCAGGACAGAGTAGGACCCGGAGTCCGCATCTTTGATGAATTCCTGGGTGACACGCTGCGGCTGGGGCAGGGATCACACCTGCTGCGGACGGATCCTGCCATGGCGGGGGACTGGATATCTGGCCAAGGGAGACACTCCCCTGTGTGTGGGATGAGCTGCTCTGGGCCCCAACCCCCAGCTGCCAGTAGCCATCCCTGCTCATGGTGACCACTGAAACCATCAGAGCACCGCACGTGGTCCTGCATCAGGCTCAGGGCACGCTGTGGCTTTCGTTTCCCAGGAGCTGGGGTTTCCAAGCTAAGACACTGACAGAGGAGCCTCTGGCTCCTCGCAGCTCCCTGTTTTTACCCCTCTGGTTCTTTGATTCCCCCAAGCCCCGAAGGGTCCTCTGCACTGACACCCACACTGTTCTTCACACTGTGCTGAAAGCTGGTCCTGGGTTTCATTTTCCAAATATGGTGTTGTTGTTGGTGGTGGTGGTGGTGACGGCACAGTACTGAGGGCTGAGGGTCTCACGTATGTTAAGCAAGCACTCTATAATTTACAGCCCTGGCCCATTCTCTCTCTCTCTGTCTCTCTCTATGTCTCTCTCTGTCTCTCTCTCTCTCTGTCTGTCTGTCTCTCTCTCTCTCTCTCTCTGTCTTCATTTTTGGAGACACAATCTCACTATGCAGTTCAGGCTGACCTTGAACTCACTTTGTAGCCCAGGTTGGGCTCAAACCCACAGTGATCCTCCTGCCTCAGCCTCCTGAGTGCTGGGGTTGCAGAAGTGAGCCATTATGCCTGGAGATCCTGTTTCCCAGAAAGTAAATTTCATGAAAGTAAAAGTTTGATAAAAGTCTTTTAGCATTTAAGCATGTTTGTGGTAAGGCAGATATAAGTAGGGTCAGCCTGTTTGATTCATTGTGTAAACTTTTAGAGTTCACGTGTGCCTCTGCTACCGGAAGTAAAGAATTTGGAAAAGTTTTAAAATTGATTTTATTTTTTTGAGACAGGATCTTGCTATGTGGTCCAGGCTGGCCTCAAACCTGTGCTGATCCTGCTGCCTCAGCCTCTCAAGTGCTGGGATTATCTTTTTTCCTTTTTTTCTTTTTTCTTTTTTGAAGCAGGGTCTCATTAGGTAGGTCAGGCTGGCCTTGAACTCACAGTAACCCTCCTGCTTCAGCCTCCCAACTGCTCCTTTCTTTCTGACAGGTATTGAACCCCCGGCCTTGGACATGCTAAGCGCATCCTCTACCACTGAGCTACACCCCAACCTTTTCTTGCACTTTTGAATGTTATAAATTTAGTCATTGCTAACATGTTTCTTAGAATGGGTTCCTCTTGGTTACCGAGGTGCTAACACTGCCTCGAACACATCAATTTGTTAGACAAATGTTATAACATTGATTTCCCGAATGAAACTATTTTTTTATCTTTAAAAAAATCTTGCAAGTTGAGCAAAAACAGGAAAAGGAAGACGACCACAGCTTGCTGGTTGATCTCCTACTGATCTGTCTCTTCCTCCCCTCTAGGCTCCAAGCTCTCTACCCCGACCTCCAAGCCGGCTGAGCCCGGAGAGGAAGGTCCACCTTTCGGAACACTGCCGGCTCTATTTCGGGGCACTCTTCAAAGCCATCCGTGCACTTCACAGCAGCCTCGGCACCAGCCAGCCCCCCGACGTCCTCATCACGCAGAGCAAGCTGGTCATCACGGTGGGCCAGAAGCTGGTGGACACGCTGTGCAAGGAGACCCAGGAGAGGGATGTGCGTAACGAGATCCTGTGTAGCAGCAGCCACCTGTGCGGCCTGCTCAAGGGCCTGGCGCTGGCCACCAAGACCGCCGTGCTCAAGTACCCGAGCCCCACAGCCCTGGGGCTCCTCCGGGCCGAGGCCGAGAAGCTGGAGCATCACAGCAGGCAGTTCAGAGAGACGCTGGAGTGAGCCCTTCCACCGCCTTCCTCCGAGGTTAACTCTCCTAGTGACAGCCTGTGCAGCTCGGTCTAGTGCGACAAGCTCCACAGCTGGAGCAGACGCGGGACATCCAGGGTCCACAGCACCCAGGGTCCGCAGCACCCAGGGGCTGAGCCACCCAGGACACTGACTTACCCACAGGGGGCAGAGAAGACAGTTAGGTGTTAAGTACAGACACCGTGAAGCTGGGGGTGACATGTGGGGCATACGGCATCAGTGTTGGAAGTGATATCGCCGTGGAGATGGCCTTGTGCGCTGGTTAAAGGCGTGCATGCTTTACATTCATTCATGCGACGATTATCTGCCAAGCACCAATTGTGCATCCAGTTCCAGGAGCTGGAATGAGCATCGGAGGCCCTCACAGTCCAGGAGGGAGCAGAGATGAAGAGGCGGAGACACACATCCTCCACACACGGGGAGAAAAAAGTTAGGAATCAAAGGAACTTAGTTTCAAAGGATGAAGATGCTGCTTCCGTCAGGAAATGTGATACATTTTTTTTTTTATTTTGGATTGAGTTAATTCCTTGGGATTGATGCAAATTACACCTGTGTCATGCACAAATATCTATGTGTTTACAGATCTATTGGCTACGTTATTTTACCCTAGTTAAAGGCGCATGCTACAGTTGCAACCTAACTTGCTCTGTTGGGTTCCCTATTAACTTATTTTGTATATTACAGATTCTGTGAGCAAATTGTCCCCGCTCATCTGAGGAAGGTACTTCGACTGTTGTGCATCAGTTTATAATGTTATTTAAATATACTCACGAACCTAAGCATCACTTGCTGAATCGTTTCTTTGGGAAGGTCTCTGATCAACGTCGCCCAACTTCCGGTACCAAAGTGAGGGGCTTCTCCCTAAGTCTGCAGTGAGATGCGGCAGAGGCTGCGTTCTGGTGCTCCTGGCCCTGGCAAATAAAGCTGTCATCTGTGGGGGTGCAGACAGGAAGGCGTGGTGAGGTCAGGTTAGCGATCACCGGGTGCAGAGGTGGAAGTGGCCCTGGGCTCCCTTCCAGCTAAACCACCACCTCTTTGTCTCCTTGAAGCTGGGTCTTTTGTTTGTGTTACCATGGTTACACCATCTTTTCTGTGTCACCTATGTGTAGCTCAGTCACACACCTTTGTCATCTGGAAAGTGTCCACAGGCTCTGGCCCTTGCAGGAGCACCAAGTTCTGCTCCTGTCTGCTCCTGTGCCCATGGGAGGCACTTTTAAGTACTTACTGTTGCTATTTTTGTTGAGACTCATGGCTCTGTAAACAGAGATGCCACCATGGTGAGCCTTAACTCTCTGCAGCTGGACAGAGAGACACTGGAGGACCATGTTCTTTGAACAGCAGGATTGCATCAGTTAGGGTCCTGTTCCCAAGTGCTAGAAAACCATCTAGCGTCTGTCTTAAGCAGTAGAGGAAGTGGACGGTCTCAGATATCTTAGAGTAATCTGGGGCACCTGGCTGCACATCTGGCTGGCTTCAGGGGCTCCAACCGTTTGTTACAGAGCAGCAGTATCTCAGTCTCACTCTCTGAGTCAACTCTGATCACTGCAAGGTGGCTGCCTCGAATTAGTTCCTTCTTGGTCCGTGGCCAGAGGAGAGAAACAGAGATTTTGTTCTGTGTACAGTAGGTTATCAGGTGTCTGTCCCTGAGAGCTTCACTGTTACACAAATGCAGACACACGAAGTCCTAAGAGAGGTAAAGTGACAGCCCTGTAAAGAACTGAGAAGTGCCTAAGACTTTATTTTTCCTAACCCAAATTAACTAGTTGGCCAGGCACTGGTACATGGACGCTGAACGGACACATGAGATTCCAGGATCAGAGACTCTGTCAGTGGTCCCCAAGAGAACTCCAGGCCAAGGAATCGCTAGGAGGACTCACAACTGTGTTTTATTTTGGTGAAAAGGATGAAATAAAGTCAACAAAGGGAGGAGGTACCCTTTGTTGAAACGTGGGGAGCAGCGCACATTCCCCAGAGTCGTCACCCAGCAGAATTGTGCAGGACACACTTAATCCCTCCAGCAATGAGCTGTGACGGCATATGTGACATGTGGCTGCCAGAAAGCCCACAGGCGCCTCAATGCCCAGTGTTACTCCTGGGTGCTGGTCAGGTAGGCAGCCTCTGCCTGGCACACACTACATGTCCGGTCCTCCCAGGGAAAGCAGGCAGGCCACATGTATCCCACTGTCTGTAGAGTTTAGGCACAGGAGTGCCTTTCATTCTTTGCAATCCTGGAGATGCAGGAAAACTCCCCAAATGGGGATGGAAAAACTCCCCAAATCCCGAGATCCCATTGCCAGCCAAGAACTGACCCCCCAGGCAGGCCTTCCCGAGGATGCCAGCCAGACCTGCCTCCTGATCTCCTCTCTTACCCTCTCCAAGTGCTCACTGCAAGCCAGCCGTGGTCATCTTCAGATCACTGGTCCATTCTCCTCGAAGTCCAGGAGCAACAGCACTGGGGATCAGGTAGATGCTGTCACACCCTGGGCTTCTGGGAAGTGATTGGATGACAAGGGCACTGGTCATCATTTGAGGGGTTCCTTGGAGCTGATGGGAACAGGAAATAGGCCGGGAGCGGATCATGGGGCTCTGAGTGTGGGACCGACTTGTGGTCCCTGGCTCCTTCCTCTTGCCCGGTCTCTCTCTGTTCCTCTGCTCCTGGCTCAGAGGATGTGAGCAGTTCTGCTTTATGATGACCTTCCACAGTGATGTCCTGCCTCACCTCTGGTCCTTGGCAAGGAGCAGGCAGCTAGGGGCCAGAGCCTCTGAAACCGTGAGCCACAATAAGCCTCTCTCCTCCAAGCTCCTTTTCTCAGGTATTGGGTGATGACAATGAAAAGCAAACACAGGAGGACCCCGGTGTAATGGGCCCTGAGCAGACCTGATTGTAATGATGATAGAGAGTTCATCTTTAGCAGACTGGGCAGCAAGCAAACCTCACTCTGCTCTCGAGGGAGGTTCTGCAGCCATCTAGCAGTTGGCCCACTCATGTCCTGGACAGGATGGTCAGAACCAAGGGCTCAGAAGATAAAAGGGAATGGAAGACACGCATGGAGAACCATCTTCCAGCAAGATCCCCTGGCAAAAGTCATGAGGAGTGGTGGAGGGATCGTTGCAGGGAGGCAAATAATACATTTTTATTGCAGTGGGGAAAATATTTACACAAAATGATGGCAGCTGCACGTATTTATTAAGTGATGACTCCTAAACCACGGATCTGATGGCTTGTGTACCTTCACTTGGTCCTTTCTCAGTGGCAGCCTCTTTACGAATTAATAAACAGGTCTTTTTGAGATGACTTCAAACAAAAGATCACTGTCAACAAAACCACTGGGTACAAAATGATGGAAAATGCTGCTCTCGGCTAAATGTGTTTCCTTCCCTTTTTTTGTTTTTGGAAAGAGTGGTGAGTCTCCACTGATTAATTTAATAGGATGATCACATTCTAAGCACATATTTTCAGCTTTTCGTGACTTTTTGCTAAATATTTTGCTAAACACCCAGAATTTTGTACCATTTCCTCCCAAAGAAGGAAGAGGAAACGGTGGGTGAGCCAGTGGTAGGGGTGGTGGTGGCAACTTGACCTCAATTAAGTTGAATTAATCAAGAGGATGGAAGTGGTGATAGCCCCGCTGCAGAGATCTTCCAGGGTGACAAGGGCCGGGGAGTCATGTTTATGGTGTGGTAGCAACGTGTGGTTTAGAAAACACCTCTTTTAATGTCTATGTTTTCCCCACCTGCGTATCTTAGTACTCCTGAAGCTCCCATTTATGTCTTTCCCCTCATGGGGTGCATGGATGCTCTCTGCAAACACTAATTTCCTTTTATTCAGTCCCTTAACGAGCTTGTACTGTGCATGTCCCAGGCCCTTGCCGATGGCTAAAAAATGTTAGAGAATGACGCAGGCAACAAACAGAGACTGAAATATGGTGCTTTTGTTCCGGCACCAGGGAGCTGGGCACCAGGCCAGGCTGCACCCCTCAGGCCCCCTCCATGAACGTCACATGTAATGGGGTCCCAAAACATTTAGTAATCAAAAATCGATGGCTTATTGATTTCATTTTGTAGTGCTGGGGATCAAAAACAGGGCTCTATGCGTAAGTCCTTTGCCACTGAGCTATGTCCCCTGCCCTGAAATAATAGTTTAAAGAACCAAAAATCAATGTAAAATCCACAGTGAACAAGATGCCAAAATTTAAATGTGTAATACGGTGTGGGGAAGACGCAGATGACACAGGATGGGAGGGAGGGCTGATGTATGGGTGCTCTTTTAGAGGGGACACGGAGAGACAATCGCCCTGGGAAGGAGACGCCCAGAGGGTTAGCCTGAGTCACGGGAGGGAGTTCCTGGGCAAATACTGGGGAAAGAGAAGATTCCGCCCGAGAGAGGTGGACAGCACACTGCTTGCTGGAGGTGGAAGCAGAGAATATTCTTAGAATATTTCCCTAAAACTAAAAATCAAAAGTAATTTTTGTCTTGAATTCCTTTAGTAGTCACCAAATTTCCACCCAGGCCTTCATGTTTGCTAAGCAAAAACTCTTCCTCCCACTGAATACAAACTACCAGTAATGTTTTGTATGTGCTCAGAGGCAGTTTTCTGAGGATAAGTCTAAAGTTTTCATCAAACTCTGATAGAGATCCAAGCACTCTAACACAGGTTAAGAAACACCCCGTTGTGGGTGGGGTACAGCTCAGTGGCAGAGTGCTCACCTAGCAAGTGTGAGGATCTAGGTCTCCCAGCATAAATGAAAAATAAATATGGGTTTCACTAGAAGTTGATCTTTTTTCTTTCTGTGGCCATACTCTTTCTTCAAATCCACAGCTCAGTAGGAACAAAGCTGTCCCCAAGGGTCCTTGTAAGGAAATCTCCTTTACTGCTTCCTTCAACAAAGTCAGTGGGGGAGGAAGCAGACAAGAATTACACCGGTTTTCTAGGTGGCTGCCAGAATCGAAGGGCACAAATCAGTAAAGTGCATACAGCACCCGACAAGGCAATCAGCTCTCACCCCCCAAATAGTGGCTATTCTGATGACAATAAGCCACACTCAAGTTTTATCTGGGCACAGTGTCATGAAAGCACAAAGCCTGGAGACCCATATTCTAAAAGAGGAAACCAAGGAGAACAGGGACCTCTAGCTGCCTGAGCCGCTTGAGCGCAGCTGACATTGCTTTTTGAGCTTTCTGAGCAGCCATTTAACACAGGCTGGGGTTATTCTCGGGATACAGATTTACATGCTAGATTTGGGATAAGCCTCTTGGTGGAAGAGTTTGGAGGGAGTCTTCATGTACCAAGAGCCCTGCAGTTCTCAACAGTTTTGGGGTCAGCTCGAACTTGGCTTATCATCCCTCTCCAAAGGAGCCTGTGCCTTCTTTTGGTAAGGAAACATTATCTGGAATACAACAAACAGACTCTTCTAGGCACTGAGCTACAACAGGGAATAACATAAATTCCTAACCTTGCAAGGATTACAGTTCTTGGGGACTGTCACTGTCCTAAACCAATTTAATTTCTGTCAATCACAGTAACAGATACACCAACCCCATAGACCCTTAAGTTTTCATGTCCAAATACTATTCTGGGCAACTGTTACCAAAAGGGGACTACTTTCAACACGGTCATTTCCAGGCATGGCGGTCTGCAATCTGGGCAGGGGAAGGGCTTTTCCCTAATGTTTCTGATACTTCAAGGAGCCTGACACAATCACGGATTTTGCTGTTCTCAATTCAAATAACATAGCTTGTCTCTTGGAATCAGCATGGAGATAACAGTGTATTCTTTATACGAACCAATGTACTGCATAACATGTTAATTATATACTTCTTCACACATAAAAATTATTTTAGCCTGGGCTTCAGAAGACTGTGGAAGAAATTTCACACCTGTACCATTGGCAATCTCCTATCACCTTGCAGCGGGGTCGTGGATGCTTAAGTCACAGCGCTCCACGCGAATCAATACACGCACGTATACCGAAACGACAGCTTCACAGGTTGCCCATATCTGCAGTCACACAGGCTAGGATGGGATGGGGCTGAAGAGCGCCAAGCGCTCCTGAGTCACCGCCACGCTCGCTGCCCTGCCCGCGCGTGGGCGAGCGCTTCCGAGCGTCCAGCAGGAGCCCACGGACCTAATGGAAAGAGGAAGAAGGGACGACGCACTGGAGCCTGGCGTGGCGGGACCGCCCTCAACCCGGCGCGCAGGAAGATCCGCCAGCTGTGCGTGGGCCAAAGCACCGGGCCACGCCCAGCAGTTGAAGACGCTCTCCATGGCAACTGGCGCTTGGCAACGGCATCATCCCGCCCTACCCGCAGCCAAGCCCCAATTCAAGGCCCGGCGCGTCACCGGAAGTGACGTATACAAGGAGCGCCGGAAGTGGCTGTTGCTTTCACTACCCGCCCAGGAAGTGGCAGCTTCAAGACTTGGGGGCTGGTTCTGACTCCGGTCCTAAGATGGGTTGCGACGGAGGCACAATCCCCAAAAGGCATGAACTGGTGAAGGGGCCGAAGAAGGTTGAGAAGGTCAGCAATGCACGGTGTTGGAGAGAATGTGGGTGGGCGCACTCAGGAAGGGACGGGACGGGGAAGGAGCCAACGGAGCTCTAGACCTAGGTAGCTGCGTTCCTTCCTACTGTCCTCAGGATTCCGCATTAACAATAATATTGACAAGTGGGAATTTTTTGAGTGTTTAAAAATGTTTCTGTTGATTTGATACTACGCTTAATGTGGGATATTTGTCTAATTCTCGAAACATTCCTGTGGCTACGTACCGTTTTTTCAGACGGAAATTTGAGGCTCAGAGGAGAGAGTTCCAGAGCTAGTTAAGTAGATTTGAAACCTACCTGCGATTAGTAACGATGATAAAAGTGGTTGTTATTTATTGAACTTTGTATAACTTACTTTCACTTTCTTAGAAGTCTTCCCAATGGCTCCCAATACCATGAAATCAGATCTTATTAAACTATTTTGTCACCGTGCACACTGATTTCACGGTTAATCCATATGTCTCCTACCTCAGAAGGTAAGTTCCTAATGGAGGAGACAGAATCTCTTTTCCCGCTGGATCTAGCAGAATTTCTGGCACAGTAAATATTTTGAATAAAAGAATGAGTGAGTAGTTTCCAGTTTTCATGAGTAATGGAGCAGATTATACATATTTTTTCATGGCAGAGAAATGAGAATTCAAGGAAGTAAACGTGCATGGCTAAGGTCACATAGCTGGTGGGTAATGAAGCCAAGATTCCCACTTTGGGATTATTTTCGAGTCCAAAGTTAGCAAGAGTAGTGACTTTTTAATAATATAATATATGCACAAAACCTAATACAGTGTCTGGTGCATGTGCATACTCTGTTTTGATTCAGCAGTACAAGAAATTGTCTTTACTATACTCAGTGTCACTATTATATTTGAAACACTCTGGTGACTTCCTGTCGCATTTGGAATAAAATCCTATCAAGCTCTGTGGGAACAGATCCTTGCTTACCTTTCTCTTCTCATTTTTTGTCTCAGTCCAGCTCTTTCATTCTGTTCCAGCTACATAGGCCTTGTACCTCAGCCTGGAGTATTTCATCAGCCTGGCGTTTTCTTCATTGAGAAACTGATACTATTTTCTTCATGCAGTTCTTTACTCAACGGTCATGTAGTAAAATACTCCTTAACTTCAGTCATTCCCTGTCTTACTCTGTTCTTTTATTTACCTTCCTTCCGTCACCTCTCTCTCCCATGGTGAGCAGGTCCTTGTATGACTTAGCTTTGTAGCTACTGCAATATGTCTACCACGTAATCAACACCCAATAAATGTGTTGAATTCAAGAGTGAATGAGCCAGGTGTGGTGGTGAACACTTGTAATCCCAGCACTTAAGAGGCTGAGGCAAGAGGATCTCTGAGAGTTCAAGGCCAACCTGGGCTACAAAATGAGTTCAAGTCCAGGCTGAACTACATAGTGAAAACTGGTCTCAAAACAACAACAAAAAAGAATATTCAAGAGGATGAAGTGTGCCCTCTGATTATATCTATATATGTACAGGTTAATTCTAGATATTTAGCACTCAGAGCTTTTGTCAAAAGAAAAAAGCATTCAGCTCACTTTTGCTATCTGTTGTCTAGGACTGAAAGGCTTGGCAAGAAACAGATGTCAGAAGGGAATAGAAAAAAAGAAATGATAATCCAAAACAACAAATTCTCAGGCAGGATGGATTCTACTAACCTTACTCAGAAAGACAGACTTACTGTAGTGTACGCTGCTTTTAACCAAGGACAAAATAGTGCACCTCTTATAGCGCTTATATTTCAAATCCTTGTTGTGAATAAGAAACATGTATTATATGCACAAAAAAAGTCTTTATCTGTGTCTGTGTCTTGTTCCTGACCCAGAGTTCCTAAATCCCTTGGAATTTCCTGGATGATAGGACTGTCACTGTTCTAAAGAGGTGACTTGAAGAGTCCCAGCTGGTCACCAGAAAGCCCAGTCATGATTAGAAGGTTGTCATTCTCAGCACCATCACCCATAGCTCAGGAAGGGGAGGGAAGCTGGAGGTTAAGCTAATAATTGGTCGTGCCTGCATGCTGAAGCCTTCATAAACACCCCTGAGCAGGGGTGGCCCCACTGGAGTGCGGCTCCTGTGCTTGAGACCTTTTTAATCCTCACCCCAAGTACCTCTACCTGACTGATCACTTGACTCATTTAAAGTACTTTGATAATAAGATTGTGTTCTGTGTGCCCCAAACTATCAAACCTGAGGATGGGCTTGTGATCCCTGAAACAGAAGGATCGCCAGGAGTTCAAGGCCACCCTGGGCTGCACAGTGAGTCTAAGACCAGCTTCAACTACACAGTGAGACCCTGTCTCAGAAAAACAACAACAATAAAAACAAAAACAGTCTAGAGCCAGCCTGCCTGGTAGCTCCTTCATTAGTTTGCCACATTGATTTGGGGCATGGAAGTTAACTTCTTGCTGCTTCGATTTCAAGTTCAGTTCTCTCATCTCCAGCAGTTAAAAATACTCCTTGGGTGTTGGTGATTAAAAAGCATCAGACTAGTCACTGCTTAGTGCAGGTCCTGACACACAGAAAGCGCTAACCAGCTGCCGCTGCAAAAAAAAGGGTTCAAAGCCTGTTCTTCTTCTTCACCCTTTTCCTGCTTTCTCTCAAGTGTGCTGTACTGTTAGAGCATTTGGGTGTGGTGCTGTGCTATTGAGGAGTGGATGTGAAATCCTCCTGGGGGATGTTGTCTGAGAGCGAGGAGGGTTTCACATCTGATTTCCTTAGCTTAGGCACTTTGACACATTTTTTGTAGCTGTAACAAAATATTGAAATTGAATGCTTTATAAAGAAATTTATTTCTTACATTTTTGGGGGCTGAAGAGTCCAGTGTCAAGGTCCCAACTGGGTGAGGCTTTAGAGATTGAACCCAGGGCCTTCACACTGAACTATGTCCCCAACCCTTTTTTATTTTCAAATTTTTAAAATGCAATTATTTTTGAGGAATTGAGATTTAACCCAAGGCCATAGCATAGGGAGACACCCTCAGCTACTTCTTACTTATTTTGAGGGTCTCGCTTTGCAGGCAGGCTGGCCATGAACTCATTATGTAGCCCATGCTGGCCTCAAACTCACAGTGATTCTCCTGCCTCAGCCTCCTAAGTGCTGGGATAACAGGCGTGCACCAGCCTGCCCATCCCTCTTTATAGTTCTTTTCAGACAAGACTCCCCATAAGTTACCCAAGCTGGGATTGAATTTGTAATTCTCCTGTCCCAGCTCCCGAAGGGCCCAGCACCTGCTCTTTTTATTTTAAGATGGGCTCTCCCTGAATCATTGAGTTGCCGAAGATAGGGGGATCCTGCAGTCCTCCTGCCTCAGCCTGCCAGAGCTCTGGGATCACGGGTGTGCAGCACCACACCTGGCTGCGGTGAGGGTCTTCTTACTGCAGACTTGAGAGGCGGCATGGGGCATCACCCCGTAAGAGGTGGGAAGAAAAGCAAGCTGGCCTTTGGTACACGCACACTTTGAGGCAGCCCACCAGCTGGTGTTAGCTCATCAGTCTAACTGGCACCTGGAGACCTGAGCTCTCCTGCCGCTCAGTGCCTCTCACCAGAGACTCGGTGTGAGTTTCACTGGGTCGTAGAAGCCACAGTAGGAGGCAAGGGTTTGATATGCCGCCCGCAGGGGACTCAAGAGCAGTGGCTGCTGTGGGATTGAGCTGGTGGTTTCGAAGAGAATTCCTTAGCCTTTGTTCTGAATTTTAAAAAAAAAGCAGTCTCTTCGTTTCTTGGTCTTTAAATTCTGCCACCGTGTTGGAGCCTTCCCCAGTATTAACAGTTAGTCTGTGCTGCTCTGTTGTGGTGTGGCCTTACTCCTGTGCTGTTAATGTTTGTACGTAGCTCACGTAAATGGTTTAGTGCTGTGATGTAAACTTTCGTGTTGTCTTTAGCTGGACCTTTGTTTACCATAGTGTTATTGACTTATGACTTAAATTTCCAACATCTTGTATCACTGTGATTTACAAACTAAAAACATCACTGGTAGGTAATATTAAATAAACTGTAATGTACACACACATGTCTTTTAGGGGCACAGTTAATTGAGAGTTTTTGTTTTCTTTTATTAGGTTGACAAAGACGCTGAATTAGTGGCCCAGTGGAACTATTGTACCCTAAGTCAGGAAATACTGAGACGCCCAATAGTTGCCTGTGAACTGGGCAGGTATGGTCCTGTGCTGAATCAGACGGGTTTATTCTGTGATTTCGAGAATTTTCACGTGTAAATATAGTTCCTGAGTCATGTAGTGGGATTCATTCCCAGCCAGCCTGGGAGGCGTGGGAGAGGAGAGTATTCCTCACCTCTGAACGGTATTTTATGCCCTGGTCAGTGTGGTTTATTTCATCTATGGTTTGGAAACCCAAGGGCCGCGGGAGGCGGGAGGCGGGAAGGGTGAGGCGCCTCTGCACCGGCGGCCGAGGTGCTTCCTGTTCGCCACGAGCTGAACCAGTGTTTCTGCAGAGGGAGAGCTTGGGGGCCGGGTCATAGCCCCTGAGCAGGAAGGAGCCGTGTGAGGCGAGGGCAGAAGGGACAGAAGAGGCCTCAGGTTCCGGGTGATGGGGAGAGGCCGCTCAGGCCAGTTCTTACAGTTCCAGAGCCCAGGCCTCGTGATTCTAAGTCTTCCGGGTTTTATGTCTGAAGAAAAACTGAAAATTGGAGCTTTTAGAGTCAGTTTCCCAGTTTTAAAAATCCTCGTTCAGGGTGCATCAACCCCTAGGCGCTGTGCTCAGGCAAGGCGGGCACGTCCTTCAGTGGTCAGGGCCTTCAGTGGTCGGGGCCTCGCTCGCTCCTGGGGCTGCAAGTGCACCCTGAGTCACGGCCAGGCTGCCTCTGCCCTCCTGCTGTCTGGAAGTGGGCTGTGGCCCCTGTAATGTGCCCGATCCTCCTTCCTGCAGGCTTTATAACAAGGATGCTGTCATCGAGTTCCTGCTGGACAGGTCTGCCGAGAAAGCACTGGGAAAGGCAGCGTCCCACATCAAAAGCATGAAGGTGAGCCAGGGTCCTTGGAGCGCAGCTGTCCCCTCAGCACAGACAGCAGACACCAGCAGCCAGCAAGCGCTTGCAGCAGGGAGAGCAAGCTCCTGCCATCTGTCAGACAGGTTTACCTGATTTACAGGTGGTCTCTGGCTTAGGGTGGGGCAGTTTAAAAAGTTTTGTTGTCATGCTGATGCAAAAGTGATCCACGGTCAGTGCAGTCATACTTACGCTTGGATTTTGATCCTTTCCTACTGCGAGGGGTGCAGGGTAGTGGCATCAGGGGCATCGGGCCACAGCCCCTGGTTGGCTTCGAAGACACAACTGGTGCTCTCGGAGCACAGGTGCCTGAGCTGAGAGACTGGGGCTGCAGGTTTACCCCAGGCCTGTCTGGGTGTCACTGCAGCACAGGTCCTAGAGCGTCTTGCTGGTCCGTGGGTTTTAAAATACCTTGTGTACAGTTTGTGATTTAATTTTACACTCACATTTCTTGATGGCCACGGCAAAGTGATTAGGAACAAAGGTTCCTAAGGGGAGGAAATGAAAGCCCTGTTTCTCTTTTGATCTGGGTGGTTGTGGAGGCAAAGAATGATCCGTGATGGATTCTTAGCATACCAGTTGCTTTCCACAGAGCGTGACGGAACTGAAGCTGTCTGATAATCCCGCCTGGGAAGGGGACAGAGGAAACACGAAAGGCGATAAGCACGACGACCTCCAGCGGGCTCGCTTCATCTGCCCGGTCGTGGGTTTGGAGATGAATGGGCGGCACAGGTGGGTGTTTGTGGGGGGACGCCTGGGGCGACACGGTCCCATCGGGGTTTCCCTCTGTGACTTGGCTGTGCCCACGAGGAAGCCCCTGCTTGGCTGCCACTGGGCCCCTGCCTGTCATGTCTGTCCGGGGCATTGGCCATGGCTGTCTGTTCTTCAGTCAGAAAACCTAAAGTGAACTTTGAAGTCTCCATGTGGTACAGGACCTGGGTGTGAGTATATCATCATCTCATTCTCCGGGACAGAAAGCGAAAGGCAGATGTTTGCTGTGAAACGGCTCGTGTTCCTTAGGGCTGTTAAGATCTGTGCATTGGTCAGCAGTATGACTGGGTGGCCAGTCCATCAGCTGAAGTCCCAGCTGGTGACCCCAACTTGCCCTGAGTTTGTAGCTAACACAAGAGTGTCGGAAATCTTGAGGTTGAGATTTATTATCACAGATATAAGTGAGCTGTACATTTTCCTTTTTAAAAAATAAACTCGGGGGCTGGGAATTTAGCTCAGCGGCATAAGCATCTGCCTTGCAAGCAGGTAGTCATGAGTTCGATCCTTGGTACCAATAAAAAGGAAAAAGACCAAAAAAAAAAAAAAAAAAAAAATATATATATATATATATATATAAATAAACTCAGAACAGTGGTACACACTGATAATCCCAGTACCCTGGAGGTTGAGGTAGGAGGATCTCCAGTAGTTCAAGACCACCCTGGACAGCATAGCAAGACTGTCACAAACAAAACAAAACAAACAATACAAATGTTAAATGAGCCACCACGTGCCTTTTTATAAGATGCAGGCCTTCAGCTCGGTGTGATGGTGCATGCCTGTAACCCCAGCATGCAGGCTGAGGCAGGAGGATCACTGCAAGTTCAGCAGCCCAGTCCATATAGTGAGACCCTGTCTTTAAAAGAAGCCTTTTCCCTGCCCTTTAGAAGTACCCTCAATAACAGATGGTCAGACTGGAGTCTCGGGTCTAACCCATGACCTGGAGAGACCGCGTTTCCATCATCTTTCCATCAGAAGAGAAGCCTCCCAGGCAGGCGGAAAGGTGCACTGAGCTCTCAGCAGCCGGCGTGGCCATGCGTTCTGGCCATCGGTGTCTGTCCCTGGGCCAGACGCCAGCGGGCGGCTCCCCTGGACCAGGCCGTGTGCTGAGCGGCACCCTGTGGCAGGTGCCACTGTACCCGCCTCGGGTGGCCTGCAGCTCGTGGCTCTGGGGAGGAGCGAAGCATAGGGCCGGGGACCTTTTGCTTTTACAGGTTTTCCTCTTCCAGTAGTTTGAATTTAAACCTGTGGGGCCCCAGACTTTGTATAGATTCACAAATTTTGCTGCCAACAACTTATAACTTCCTAGCTGCAGGCCACTCCCACCTCCCCAGTGTACTTCTAAAATCCTGCCTGTGGAATCCTTTCATGCCTTAAAAAAAGAAAATAATTTAGGGTCCACTCTATCAACCTCATCGCTGGGGTCAAACAGAGAATGTTCTGGCTTCCAGAATTGTGTACCTGACCTTGTCCCACTTTATTTTGTATTTTTATGTATATATCTGTGTGTTGGTGTCTTAACATTAATGGCCCATGATATGACACTGACCGATTAAAAGTGTGTGCACAGTGGCCATGATATGCGCCCATTGCTGGCAGTCACTGCCTCGGCCTCGCTCCAAGTCCACTGCTGTGGTCCTCGGAGAAAACCCCAGACCCCACTGCCCCTGGCTGCGCGCCTCGTGGGTTCCTTTTCCCAGGATCCTGCAGCCAGTGGCCTGCTAGGTCTGCTTCCCGCCTGCTTGAGAATGCGGTGGTTCACCCCTGGAGGGCCTTAGCCTGGGCAGGGCCTGGGCAGGGCCTGGGCAGGGCCCCACTTCCTCGCCTTCTTGGGCTGCTCCATCTGTGCTCCTTTTCCTCTTCCCAGTTCCTTGAACACTGCCTACTTTTCCCTCTATACATCCTCTGCACCAGAAAACGTTTTTTTGGGGTTTTTATAGTTTGTATATTTAGTAAACTTTAGATAATAAAGATTTAAAAGTACAGAAAAACAGAAGTAAATTTCTAGTGTAATGAAATTATCGAGTCTTGTTTAAAAGAAATTTCCCAATTTCCTAATAATTGGTAAGCATTCATAAAGTAGGATTTTTTTTAAGGTGAATGAATTCACTGCAGTGGTGCTAGATTCTTGTTGGGGGGAGCCGCGTGTGCTGGGCTCTGGGAGGTGAGGGGAAGTTTGTGCTGTTGTGCATGGGAGGGAATGTGCCCAGTGTGCAAGCATTGCCCACGCCCCCAGTTTCTGTGGCAGTCGCTCCTTCACCTCATACGTGGGCACCAGCTCACGCTTCTCCACCCTCCACGAGCCCCTGCAGACCCACCTGCTCTCCAATTGTAGTGTGTGTGCTGCCCAAGTGAGTGCAACAGAGTTGTGGGATCTGTGTGCGTGTACACGCGCACACTTGTGTGTTTCTAAGGCAGTGTCTTGCTGTGTAGCCCAGGCTGGCTTCAGACTACAGCAGTCCTCCTGATTCAGCCTCCCAAATGCTGGGATTGCAGGTGTGTGCCACCTCGCCCAGCTCTGTTACGTACCTTGTGACCTCCTCTTTGTATTTTATGTCTAATTTGATCGTGGTTTCATGGCCTTGTATGCTGGTTTACCTTTTATTTTTCTTGTAGTAAGGATTCAGTCCAGGGCCTTCATACTGACCTATATCCCACTCTCTTCGTTTTGTTTTGTCTCATTTTGTTGCTAATTTCAGGAGTGTTTTGCGGAGTCACCCTGGCTGGGCTCAAACGCGTGATCCTCTTCCCCAAGAGCTGGGATTCCAGGCGTGTGCCCTGTGCCGGGCTTATTCTGTGTAATAAGTACGTGGGAGTGCGTAATTTATCTACCCCTTTTCCTGCTGAGGGTTCAGCAGGCTTCCTCCTTTCCCTTAGCACAGCTGCTGCTGCGCTGCACGGCCGGGTAAGGACGCGTTTGTGCCCTGTGGGCGCAGTTCTGCAGAAGGGATCCTGAGCCGATCTTTCACTTGCCGTTGTGCAGGCTCCTCCTGGGATGTTGTACCCACAACCAACAAGTGTGTTTGCGTCTGTAGATAGTTTCCAATTAGATACTTAAAATCTATTTAATTATTAACTGATAGAGAAAGCATACGGCATAATTTTGAAATGCTTTTTAATACATTTGAGGTTAACTCTTTTTATAAGTGTTAACTTTAAATTTCTTTAGTGAACTGTATATTAATGCCCTTTGCTCATCTTTCTGTAAAATTACTTTTAAAGACCCCTTCAGGATATGGGGCCTGATGATACATAGCTATAATCCTAGTACTTAGGAGGCTGAGACAGAAAGATTGCCTGGAATTAAAGGCCAGCCTGGGCTACATAGTTCAAGGCCAGTCTGAACCATATTGTGAAACCCTGTCTTAAAAAGAACCCCAAAAAAGGAAAAATTAATAATAATAATGAAAGAGTCCTTCTAGGGGGCGATTAGCATAGTGATACACGAGGTACTGGGTCCAATCCCCAGCACTAGAAGGAAAAAAAAACCCTAAAGACCCTTTCAGATATTTGTAAAATAAACCCTGAACGTCACATAAATCTAAAATACTCAGATGAGTGTCTTCCTGAGTAGTCAGCCAGCCTTTGGACTCTGTGTGTGATTATAGTGCTTGTGTATGTGTGTCTGTGTGTGTGTGTGTCTGTGTGTGTGTGTGTGTGTGTGTGTGTGTTAGATTCTGGAGGTGCCTGTCCTGCGGTGCTGGGCCTGAGCCCTTGGCTGTGTCCTGCCCTCTGGCTTGATCCTAGGGTGGACACAGCCATGTCTGCTCTGCAGTCCTGGGCTGTGTGAGCTGAGCACACGTTGGTGGCGCAGCACTTGGCTCCGGTCCTGCTGAAGCCACCCTCCGTGTCGCCCTTCCCCTCCAGGTTCTGCTTCCTGCGGGGCTGCGGCTGTGTGTTTTCTGAACGCGCCTTGAAGGAGATCAAAGCGGAAGTTTGTCACACGGTGAGTTCCCGACCCCTCCGGGTGCCCCTTCTCGGCAGGCAGCCGAGGGAGCTGGCTGTGGGTCCCCCCTCTGGTTGGTGAGCATCCGTGAGTTCTTTCTGGAGCACAGGTCTCTGGGCGGCCGCTCTGTGGGAACCTATTACGCGACCTCACTGTGCCGCCATCAGCCTGCCCTGCTCGGGCTGCTGGAGCGGGGCCTGGACGGCCACATCCTCGCCTCGTCCTTGCTGCTGGGACCTTTGTCTCGGGTCCTTCCCGCTCCCCTGCACCTTCTTCCATCCCTGACCTCACCACAGTGCGTGCGTGCGTGCATGAGTGTCCCCGCCAGCCAGGCACGTTTGAGGGTGGGGAAGAGTGTGTTTGTCACTAGATCTCTGGGTTCATTCTCTCCGGGACGCCTCAGTAAACAGCCTGTACCTCGGCTCCTCTGAAGGGAGGCTCAGGCTTGGCTTTTGCACGGGCACCGCTGAAGCCCGAAGCCTTTGAGTCTGGCGTGGGCTTAGTGTTGCCGGTCCCCGCGATGTGGCTATAGGTGGCCTGGGTTCACTCAGCCCGAGTGTCTGAGGCCCTGGAGCGGAGCACTTCTCCCACGATGGGAGACGCAGCGGGCAGCCGTGCTGGACAGCAGCCCCTGTCGTAGGCACTGGTGGGGTTCTGAGGGAGAGCTTGTGCAGGCCCTGCCAGGCAGGACAGCAAGAGCAAGCAAAGTGCCCCTGGTGACAGAGGCCTGGAGGGGAGCATGTGGGGGCTGGGGCGGCGAGGGATGCCCTTGGGGGTTCATCTGAGGAAAGACCTGAGGGGCACAAAGGAGCCCGCTGTGAGCCCCGAGCATCAAGGAAGCTTGGCAGAGGAGGTCGTGTGCAGCCAGGAGAACCGAGACCGATGCTCTGGGAGCTCAGGGAGTGGGTAGCCCTGGCGGATAAGAAGGGGTGAAGTGGGAAAGACGAGACTAGGCGGTGGCTGTCTCATGGGGCTGGGGCAACCATCGGTGCTTAAGAGCAGAGTAAAACTGGCAGCCACTTTCGGCCCCACGAGCATACTTTAGACCTAAACTGAGCCCTGTGTCAAAGATGCTGGAGGTGGTGCGAGCCTGTACTCTCAGCACTCAACAGGAGGGTCACCACAAGTTTGAGGCCAGCCTGGGTTACACAGCAAGATTTTGTCCAAAAGAACCAGAAATGGAGGAAGAGACTTCATTTATACAGGATTCAGGGACAGTAGAAAACATTTGGCGAGGGACGTTGATGACGTTGATAACGTTTTGGAACGTGGCCCTAAGTGCATTTGGGGACTGATTCTACACTAGCTGGTGTGGCCTTCTGTCGCAGGGGTGTTAGAGATGTTCCGGGACAAATGAGGTTGATAGCCTGGGCCCCTGTGCTCAAGCAGGCTGCAGCCCTGCAGGAGCCGTGGCTGTGGACGTGTCACGCCATGCTTAGCCCTCTGTGTCGGAACCCAGCTGGTGGTGGCGGTGTGACAGGTGTTTGGGAGCAGAACGCTGGTGGGAAGAGGCTTCATCGGGGGCAGTGTTTGTTCTGGCATGGAAGGAAGGCTGGTGGGTGAGACTCTGGGGCGGGTAGGGGTGCTGTGGGGGCAGGGTATGTTCTGCAGGCAGGATGCGCAGGTCCCTGTAAGACTCATCGAGGGCGATGGCTGCTCCTTCTGTGCTCTCCTGCAGACCTGCTTGCTTCCTGGGTGAAGCCTGGGGCCCCCATGTTCGTCTCCCCTTTCTCACACTCACTGGCTGCATCAGAGGAGGACTTAGGCTTGGCGCTTTGGAGGAGGTCAGGACCTGGGAGACTGCTTTGTACTCTCTGCATGTGTCGGGTCACCTTGGAAGGGGACAGCAGCAGTTCAGGGGCTGGAGTGAGAGTTGCAGAGCTGGCCTGAGCAGGGCTCCTGCGGGAGGAGCACCATGAGGGACAGGAAGGCAGCGGGCACAGCTTCCTGCCAGCCCCAGCCAGCTCGGCACACAGCGTGTGCTCAGGTGTCTGCACGCTTAAGCAGAGGGGTGCAGGGTGGTAAGGGCTGGGCCCGCTGACAGGTGCACAGGTGCCGCCCGAGGGGCTGGGTTTGTGACTAGGGCTTGTGAACTGGGAAAGGCGTGGTCCAGCCGCAGTGCTGTGGGGTTAGAGAGCCGCGCACACTGGGGAGCCCTGCATTCTTGCTTGTTTCAGTCTCCTGTGCTGTTACTGCAGAGGACCTGGACCTGAGGGATTCAGTTTTTTGTTTCATTTTTTTTGAGGCAGTGTCCTCCTCTGCAGGGTCAGGCTGGCCTAGAACTCACTGTGTAGTCCAGGCTGACTTCGAACTTGTGGGGATTCCAATTGTGTACCAGCATACCTGGCAGAACTGGGCGATTCATAAAATGCAGAATTCTACTTCCTCAGAGATCTGAGGTGGGAAGTCAAGAGATACAGGAGCTAGGATAATGTGAAGTACACTTTTCTGAGTCATAAAGTAGTAGAAGCGAGAGGGAGCAAGGAGCAGCAAGCATGAGTTAGTGAGGGCCGGACCTGCCTTTTCCTGGAACCTAAAACTGGTGCCCATGACCTAGTTACTTTCCCGGCACCGTGACACAGTACCTGATGTCCATAAATTAAAGGTGAGGTTTATTTAGCTCATAGTGTGTAGTGGTTTCAGTCCACTTGGAGTCAGCTGGCTCCAAGGCAGGGAAGGACAGGGCAGCCAGGCAGTGGTAAACAACTTGCAGCGTGGTAGGAAGGAAGCAGAGTCCTCTGGGGAGGGTGGAGGGAGATCAGCCTTCTGGGCCCCCAACCAGCCATTCCCTCTTGATGTGATGTTAGCTATGAACTCAGCACTGATGAGTGTTACATACAACCCCCCCCCCCATGATCTAGACATCCCCCAAAAACCCTGTCTATGAGACCGGGAACATATGAACAGTAGCATTTGTCTTGGTTGCTTTTCTCCTGTTGCTGAGACAAAATACCCAACACCCAAAATTAAGGAAAGAAAGATTTATTTGTCTCACTGTTTGTGAAGGTTTCAGTCCACAATCAGCTGGCTCCACGGCAGGGTGGTGTGGCACAGGGGCAGCAGTTCATGGTGTCAGAAGACAGCAAAAGCAGCAAGAACAAAAAAGGGGAGAACAAGCCCCTTTCCTCTCTTACACTGTAAGCAGACTCCCCTACTCCAGGACAGGCTGGCACTCACACCAGCTGCTGCCCTCCTCTTGCACAGGATGAGGATGTTTACATACTGAGGGCCCTGAGTCTGTCAATAAGTTATTAAACTTCTCAAGTTGACACAGTGTATCGACCATCACAGTCCACCCCTTGTCAATTTGGCAACCAGATGCGTTTCTTTAAACAGGTTTCCAGATACAAAGGCATGCGTATTCTTATCATTTGTTGACTTGGACATGATAACACAGGTTTAACAATCCTTAGGAACCAATAACTGAAAGTCTGTCAACTCTATATTCCATTAGAACCATAACATTCCAACCCTGATCCCCTAAAGACTCATGCTCATCCCTTTATGCAAAGGACATTTAGTCCATCTGCAAGAATTGCTAAAGTCCTAACCATTTCAGCTTTGCTGAAAAGTCCAAGGCCCAAGTCTCCTCCAAGATGGAAGGCAGACTCCTAGCTGGATACTCCTGTGCAAATGAAAAGTTAAATATTGTCAGCGTACAGTGGCACAAGGTAAACATTTTCATTCCCAACAGTTACAAACTGGAATACACAAGTCCAGAATCCAGCCAGGCAAGCATTAAGCCCTGTAGTTCCAAGTGCACCATTCCAGGCAACCTGGTAAGCTGTGAGCTCGAGAGGGCTGGAGGAGCTGCACCCCGCAGCACTTCTGGTGGTGGTCACCCCACGGTTTCTCTCTTGGGGTGGCTTTGCTCCCACTTGCAGCTTTCCTTAGATGAGCCACACTCCTGTCTTTTCCAAACCTCTGGGGTCTCCACTGCACCTCTGGCTTCTCACTCACAGCACACACACTGCCCTCACGGAAGCACTGCCTGGCCTCCCAGGCCTTCTGAGATCAGAATGGAAGCCTCTTGAACCCCATAACTCTAATGTTCTGCATGACCTAAGTCCAGCAGCAAATGTGAAATCCTGTCATTCTGTGTCCACATCTGTGGCACGATGTGAATTCCAGAGGCTGGGGCGGCCCCGCCCTCCAGCTGGGCTCCGGCTGGCTTCACGCCCTCGTGGCCTCCTAGGTGGCGCCCACTCCTGCCTTCTCCACCATGCTGGGGTCTCCGTGCACTTGCAGTCTTGCTCCCTGCCCTCTCAGTCAGGAGCCCACTGCCTGGCCTCCAGGCCGTCCCTGACCCTTCCTGACCCCGCAACTCTTGCGTTCTGCATGGACCTAGCTAGAACCAGAACCAGAACCAGTGGGTGGTGCCAGCAGGAGCGGTAGTTGAGCCCTTTCACGTCTTGCACAGAAGAGATCCCAGCAGAGACAGTCACTGAGTGCAGGGAAGCCTCAGCAGCCTTGTGAAGGAGCAAGAGTCCCCACCCCAGGGTTGCTTGGTTTGATGATGCCAGGGGTTGACCCTGGGCCTGCTCACTGAGCCACGTCCCACCCCTTTTGGTTGGAGTGAGTTTGTTGTCTCGCAGAATCATCAAGTTTACCAGCCTGGGTGTGAACTTATGATCCTGCTGCCTCAGTGTCCTAGAGTGCCAGGACAACACATGAGTGTCACCATGCCCATGTCACCCCAGGTTAATTTTATTTTACCCAGAGAAGTAGACTGCTGAGTGTTTTTCTAGGGTTTGTCAGAATAAAGTGACACTGTTCTCATCCAACAGAAACAGCTTTAGATAAGCATGTTTGTTTTTTTAGTGGGAGGTTGTTTGTTTGTTTTGCCCAGTTAAGAGTTTGGTCTTTATTAGTATCTCATACACAGGACTCTCCAGGCCCTCAAACCAAAACGCATTGTTTACAACCCAGCGTGACCCTGGGTTATGCACTTGGTTTCCAGGAGTGCTGGGGCAGCTGGCCTCACCAGTAGCTGCTGCAGTTACTGTTCTGTGGTTTCGTCCCAGAGCTGGAAAGCCATCGTCAGCAAAGGCTTGTTGATAGCGTGTTTCTGAGTTCACTTCCGGGCGATCTGTGTCCAGGAAGTACCGTCCATCGCCCCTCCCTTGGTCTCATGCTGCGTGGCTTCGGCCCAGCAGGTGGGAGGGTGCCCATGAGGCTGCAGAGCCCTCAGTGGTGCGGCCTGGTGCTGAAGTGGCTTTGCTGTGGGAAATGCCAGTGCGCTTCTGTGGCGACTTCCGCCTGCTGCAGGGCCTTCCGTCTGTGCTGCCTCTCCAGGCATGTGACCACGAGGGGGTCTGCCGAGCGCTCAAATCTGTTGGCAAACAAGGAAGCTGACCGAATGATCCACGGCAGGTCTCCCAGGCCGTACACGCAGGTGTCCTGCACGTAGTGCCCTGCAGAGAAACACAGACGCTTAGCCGCCTCTGCCCCCCGCCGCTCGCATTCATGCAGACAGGGCCCCCCACCCCCTCTTCATCAGGAGGCCTCTGCTTCACATGAGTTCAAATTAAGCAGCTTTCGCTTGGATAGAAGCTATGTTGAATTGGGGGTTTACAGCCGAAAACAGCATTTTCATTCTTTTTGTCAGTGATTGGTGTTTGGTGGCAGCTGTAGATGAGCACTGTGGAGTTTCAGCTGGTCGGGGCACAGCAAGATGAAATAGTTTGCCTACTGAAGTCCGAGTTCTGGAGGGCTCCGGTTCTGACCTCTGGAATCCAGTGCCAGTCAGACCTTGTAGGGGTGGACACAGTGGCCCTTCTTAGCGCTGCATGCCGCGGCAGGCACTTGCTGCTCTCCTGGCGCTCCCCCACCACCACAGGGAAGTGGTTCCTACTGCACCTGGTTTGCAGGTGGACGGGTGAGAGCTCAGCTTGCAGGGGAGGAGCTGGCCTCCACAGTCCCGCCTCCAAGCCCTGTGCTAGAAGCCGGAGGCTCTGCGGCAGTCTGTGTTTGTAACACGGGGAGCCTTGCGCTGCAGCGCAGGTCCCTCCCTGTGAGGCCGGAGGCGTGGGGTGAGCTGGGGGTAAATGGCAGCCGAGGCCGTGAGCACGGTTTTTAGCTGCTAGATGTTCTTGGTTTAAAATCTTGGGCTCTTAGTAGAGTTTCGTTCAGCCAGTTAGAATCATAAATAGTAAGATAAGCGATGTTAAAGAAATTAGGATACAAGTGAGAAACAAATCAGCTACACCTTGGCTATAACTGCAGAACCGTAACGTAGTATACGTGGGTTTGGAGGGAAGAAATAAAGGGAGTGTTCTCAGATCCTGTTCGTGCCTTTCTGGTGACTGGAAGTGAAGGCTGTCCAGCCACACACTGTGACGGGACGCTGTCCAGCTGCAGGCGTGAGCCCACGAGCCCGCCCCACACCCCAGGCCACCGCATCTGTGCAGACGTCGCTGCTCTGCGGATGCTGAGCCACTGCTCTGTTAGCGGCACCACGAGCTTGACCTCATGCACCACCTGACGCCATCTCAGCGCCTTGCTTCGCCAGACGCTTGCTTACTGGCCCTGACAAGCCCAGTGAGTCATGAGTGCCCGGCGCCTGCTTTCTAAAGGAAGGGCAGGTATCAGCCTGGGGTCCTTTTCTGACTATGCGATGGCTCCCCAGTCAGTCATTGGCCGCCTTTTGAAAAACACTTTGCTAGCGAATCACCCCAGCACTCGGAGCCATCAGGGAGGTGGCAGTGTGCAAGGCGGCAGCAGTTCCCCACCTTGGAACTGTGGCACCGGAGCTGGCACCTCCCTTCTGTGTGGTGTGCAGCGTGTGTGTTCTGGGTCAGCTCCGAACAGCCAGAGCGCTGGCTCACCCCGGTTTGTTTCGCGTGTCTAAGGTGCCCTTATCAGAATTCCCTGAAGGGAAAGACTGTGAGTTGTTTGGCTTCACTGTGAGGTCTCCCTCTGCCAGTTAAACCTCACGGGAGGGGTTTCTATACCATGAATGAACTTAAGTCTGTAGCTCCAAGATTCTGATTAAAAAAAAAAAAAAAAAACAACTATTCAATACACGCACAGTTTTGAGTAGGCTGGAAAACCCTCCTTTGCAGTGTGTAAGCCTGTCACCGTGTTTTCTCCATACTTCCTCTAGGCAGCGTGCAAGCAGGACGCGGCTAAAGCATGCAGCTCCAGAACCCGCAGACTGTGCAGAGCCAGGCGGGCATTTGTGGGCTTTGTCCGTCCAGAGCTTGTCTCCTAACTGCCCAGTTGTGCCCGTCAGTCATAAACAGCACACTGAGTGGGTGCTGTGGCTGCGTTGCAGAGTAAACGATGCAGATAAGCGGCAGAGCGCAGGAGTGAAGTTTCTACCGCTCTGGTTGCTTCTGACAGCGAGCGGGCAGTAGTAGCTTGGTAACAACCTGCTCTGCACGTCTGCCTGTGTCGCCCTGGTTTATGATCTAACCAGGAGGCACAAGGAACCCAAGCCAGAGGTAGTGGGGTTGCTGTTTAAAGGCTTGTAAGTTACAGTTCTCTCCATTCTTGTGAAATTTTATCCCCCGGGGCCAGGGCCATGTGTAGCGCTGTGGTAGACAGCTTGCCTAGCAGCACACGACCCCGGCTCCCGCCCCAGCACCTCAAAAAGAAAAAGGAAAGAGAGAAGCCCATCGGTCTGGGTGCTTGTGACCCGCGCCTTCCGTGTGGATCACGTGTTACTGTGTAAATCGCCGCCCGGGCCGCAGCATCAGTGGCCCCCACGCCCCTTACTGAGCAGCGGCTGTGCGGTGTGTGTCAAAGGCTGTGTGCAGGGTTGCTTTTACCTTTGCATCCATCGTGCGCCTTCCCTTCCTCCGTTCTCCACTTCACGGCACGGATGTCTCCTGCCCAGCCAGCGTCTGGTGTGGCGCCCGGAGCATCTGAGGGGGAGACAGAACCACTACGTACTGTGCAGTCCGCTTCTGGGGCTTTGTTTTGCAGTACTGGGACAGAGCCAGTGGCCTGCATGCTGAGCTCCATCCCCAGCCCTTTTCATTTATTTTGAGACAGGGTGTCGCTGAATTGCCCAGCCAGGACTTCTCCGCCTGCCTCAGCCTCCCAGAAAGCTGGGGTTATGGGCACAAACCACTACACTCACAGCCTGGGTTTTCCGGGGTAATTTCTGCACTGTGACTGCATTGCCTCTAGATAAGGCAGTCGATGAGAAGCACTGCAAGGACACCCAACTGTGACATCAGACTAAAAGCTTGCACTTCTGGGGCGGGTGGCCCATGACCATTGGCTGAGCTACTGGTCCATCCCTGAACCTAGATCTCACTTCCCACGTGTTCCCCACCTCTTGTAACTCAGTTATGTGGGCTTCTTGGGCTTGTGTCTTCTCGATGACAGCCCTCTGAGGTGACTCGGAGTGGCACTTGCAGTGGGTATGGAAATTCTAGGAAGGCCTTAACCAGTTTCTGCTGGACCCTTCATCTGCGGGGTCTGCTCTGTTGGCAGCCACGTGCTCTGCAGGAGAGAGCTGTTCACAAAGAGAAAACCTCACTGAGGGCCTCGGATTGTACGCTGCCCCGGAGAACCTGTCTGAAGAATTGGCTCAGCTATGGAAGTATTGCTGGCTTTAATCATTGGCCTTCCTGTGGGACCCTTATCATAGTGCCTGGTACCAGTAGCTGTCCAGAGGTTTATGCTCAGAATCTTCAGAAGGTTTTATCTGAAAACAAGCAAAATTTCAGTATAGTACTTCTTTCAAACGCAGCCGTGCTGATGTGGGAGCATGACTCTGTCCACTGACTTTAGAACCCTGAACCCAGAGACCCTCCTGTGCATCCTGGTGGGAGCTCTGCGGGGCGGCCAGCATTCACAGTGCTGGGGAGAAGGGGCTGAGTGGGCGGAGTGGACAGACCTCCAAATTCCCGAACGGTCCTTACCTCTCAGTCGGTTCAGGGTCACCCAGTAGTGCCGCTCGGGGCAGCGGAGGTCCCCCGACCACCGGAGCATGTCTTTTGCTCGGATGTCAGTCAGTACAAAGTCCACAAACTTCCTTGTGAGTACGTAGTAAGCGCTTCCAAAGTAGACTGTCAGGTTATGAGGTGGCTCGTGTTTGAATCCTTCGTTTGGTGACACGTAGACACTTCCTGTCAGGCTGGACTCAGGGTCACTTTGACTTGCCTTGAATTTAGTATTTGATGGTTGGATAACTCCAGGAGTGATGTTTTTATTGTTCCATTTGCTCCTGATGTAGTGTATGATTTCTTTATTGGTTTTGATTGGGAAATCTTCCCCACAGAGATTAATGACATATTTCCATGGGAATCTGGAATGGACTAGATCTTCCATACAGTTAATGTCTGCCTGGAGCCTCGTAAGGGCAGCCGAGGCCGCTTTCCGCGTCTTAGAGGAAACGAAGACGTTCTCGAAGCAGCCGGCCAGGGTTTTCACAGCACTCCTGAACTTCCTCGGGGCCTTTCTGTCCACTTGAATGCAGTAAACATTTTGAGGTGCGTAAATAGCCCTGAGAAGCCGCACAAACATGGCCAGCTCCTGGGGAGGAGTTACAATGTACGCCAAGGAGAAGTTGGCCTCCTCTGCGGACAGGGGTCTGGTTAGGAAGCGCAGCCCCTGGGTCACCCGAGAGCAGTTTCCTGGAGCGCGTAAGTAGGCGGGTATTCCAGTCCCGCGAGGGGGTTTGCAGAGCGCTGCAATTTGGGGGGCCGCCCCTTTCCCTTCAGATAGCGCTGCACACAGTTCGTCAGGATAGAAGCCACACTCTGCCACCTCTGGGTACTCGGGCTCCTCCCCGGGCTCCTCGGGGTTTCTCAAGTAAAGAAAACCGAGAACGCAGATTACCGTGCATGCGAGGAGTCCTGGCTTGCTGGCTCGCAGCTGGCTCATGGTTTGAGCTCCACGGGCATTATAGCAGAGTTAGAAATTTCTTCCCATGAGCTTTCTAAAAGAACAGCAGAATTAACCTTAATGATGCTCACTACACCTACTGGAAGTGTATGGTCAGTTGTGCCAAGTTTTCATCTGAGACAGAGTCTCACTGTGTTGCCCCAAGGGCCTTGAATTCTGGCCTAGAGGACTCTTCCCAGCTGCCCAGGTGGCCGGGGCTACAGACCACGCAGCTGTGCCTGGCTGCATCACGACCCACTGTGTGCCACACAGCCGTGGAGCAATCAGCACATTCTGCGGGCACTTTCCTGCCCGCAGAGGTCTCTCATGTCCCTTTTAACCCATCCTTCCTTCCTCCCGTCTCTAGCAGTTGCTGGTGTGTTTCTGTCACTCCAGGTTAGTTTTCGTGGTCTGCAAGTTTACACGTGATGGGATCTAGCGCACCTGATTTCACTAGTAACCATAGCTGAGATTCATCCCTGTCATTCCCGTTTATCCGGCTCTTTTTCGTTACTGAGTTGTAGTCCGCCCTGTGGCTGTGCACAGTTCATTCATTGCGGGTGGGCGCTGAAGTACCTGCTTGTGAATAGTGGGATATTGGAAGACACCGTGAGCACTGTATGCGCATCTTTGGGCAGATCTCAGGTGGTGAAATGTCTCGTTACGTTGGTGGGTGTTACAAGCAGATTCAGTCCTTAAGACACTGCAAACTGCAGGACACGGTATGCGTGCCTGTGATCACAGCTCTGAGGAGGCTGAGGCAGGAGGCCACCAGCAGTTCCAGGTCAGCGTGGGCCATTTAGGGCCCAGGATATAGCTCAACGGTAAGGTGCATGCCAAGCAAGCACAGGGTCCTAGATGTAATCCCTGGCTACCCTCACCACCCCACCCCCTGCCAAAAAAAAAAAGCATGGACAGTTCAGCAAGACCCTTTCACAAAACCTATATAAAAGGCTTGGGAATACACAGCTCATTGGTAGACTGCCCTAACTTCACGCCCAGCACTGGGAGAAGAAAAGAGAAGGGACCGCCCAGCTGTTCTCCGAAGCAGCCTGTGTGTGTCCGGCTTCCCGTCCTGTCGGCGCGTGCGTGGTCAGTAGGTGACAGTAGGTGTGGGTGCAGTGCTCAGCCCTGTGGTTGCCCCGCGGCCCCCGGCCAAGGACGCTGAGCATATTTCCACGCTATTCCCATGGGTTTGTGTTATATTGAGACCAGGTCTTTCCTTAAGGAAAGGAGGGACTGTGGGATTATAAACTGAAATCTGTTGAAATGGGTTCTGAATTGTTTGCAGGGAAAACCTCCATGATTAAAAAAAAAACAAACAGGTATCCTGAGCTGTAGGTTGGTACGGCCCAAGCACAGCTGTTCCCCAACGCTGCACACGGGTGTCACCCTCCGGGGACTGGGGGGGGTGTAAAATGTGTTGCCAGGACTTGGTGTCTGTTGAGGGACCCTGACTCTCAGTCTCCATAAAAAGCCTTATTTATTCCTATTGCCTCTTTTTCTTTTTTTATATTTTAAAGAGAGGAGGTAGAAATAATAGTAAAACAGTTTCAAAGCAGGCTAGTAGGGTAGTAACAGTAAGCAGTACTTTGCATATCGTCGTCTACTTAGTGGCTATTGAGAGTACAAGGTACAGGTAGGAAATAGTGTCCACAAACAGTTTCCTATTGCCTGGGGTTTTTTGTTGTTGTTTTTGGTACTGGGGATCAAACTCACAACCTTGCGCTTGCCAGGCAGGCGCTTACGCCCCTGAGCTGAATCCCTGGCTCCTGTCGCCTGTCGCCTGGAGTCCTGCCTCGGCGTGGGCGCTGCCGGCCTGCCTTTCTGCAGCATCGCTGCTGGTGTGCCCAGGTGCTGTGCGGACAGCAGCATTCGGAGTTACACCTGGGGTCGTCCCACTCGGCACAGTCAGCGCTGTGAACATGTGTTGGGTGTGGAGTTTTAAAATGTTGGATTTATTTTCATTGTACAGTTACTTTCTACCAGCATACTTGCAAATTAAACAGTAGCACTGCCCAAACACATTGTTATGTTTTATACTGTTAGAATAAATGTTCATGGGTTGCACTAAACATCAAACCTTACCGCTTGTTTTTGTTTTATAAATTATATAGCAGTTAATAAATATGAACATCTCTTCATAAGTTGCTAAACAACTTGAGTCATAAAAGTAAATATTGTATGGAAAGATACTCCTAAAACTGAAAGGAAAGCTTTTTAGGACAGTAAAGAGTTTGGATTAAAGGGAAGCCCTAAGCTCTAGGGTCTGTGTCACAGCTTTTGAATCAGAGGCAAGGGTTGGGGGTTTTACTGCTGGTGCAGAATCCATGGCCCCTCTGTGCTGACTGAGTAAACCCTGTATGAACCTTGCCCCACACCAGAACCCAGGGGACTGGGTATTTTCAGTCGTTTATGTAATTAAATGAGGACAGGTCCCCAAGGTGGCCACTGTCCTCCAAGGTAATTCCCAGGCCGAGTGGTGTTTCTGCCTCCAGTGGAGCCGGGTGAGACCAGGCCACTGCCTTCACATTTGCCCCTGAAGTCCGGCTGCGGTGCTGCGATGTTAGTGTGGACGCTTGCTGGCTGCTGAGCGGAGGAGCGTCTGGGACCACCAGCAGGCTACCTCTGCGTTTCAGCCCAGGCGTGGTCAGGAAAGGTCTTGCAAATGAAGCCTTGGAGACCTCCCAGCTTTTGAGTATAAATACTCACTTTAACACCGTATCCAGCGGTAAAGCGAACATTCCCGAAGGAATGCTCTGCAGGGACCGGCAGGTTTCCCTGGTACTGCGGGGCTGCGCTCCATTTGCAGTTCTGTAAATATCGCATAATGCTTCTTTTTTTCTGGTACTGGGAATCAAGCAGGACCTTGAGCTTGCCAGGCAGGCGCTATGCTGCTGAGCTACATCCCCAGCCCTCCAGTGATTCTTGATTAACTGTGTTGTTTCTGTGTTGCAGAGTCAGCTGTTTTAGCCATAATGAAGATGTATTTTGTTGTTGTTTTTGTTTTTTAGTATCAGGAATCAAACTTGGACCTTGCACTTGCCAGGCAGGCGCTGTGCCACTGAGTTACGTCCCCGGCCCCTAGATGTGTTTCTTTTAACATGTGACTTTCTGTCGCTAAACTAATTTCTAAGAAACATAGATGGCATCTTCCAAGTGTAAGAACTCCATACTCCTAAAAGTCTGAGGTTTTTAAACATTTTTCTCCCTAAATGTCTGAAGTGGTTACTGCCTGGAAGGCATTAGGAAGGGACCTGTCCCCTGGTGTGTGTGCAGCAGACACGCCCGCTCTCTGTCCAGCCCAGGGAACTGGACCCTTCCCGGGTCCCGGGTCCTCAGCTGTGACTCTATCCCGAGGGTTCCTAACATCTTGGTGTGTGCAGGAGAGCGCTTTAGCACCGTGTCCAGGTGCTGCCTCCCCCAGGCCAGCTCTCCTGGACCCTGTGGCTTCCAGACAGTGGGCGCCATGAAGGCCACACCCAGGGCTGACGGCAGCCTGACACGCGGGGTGCTGTTGACCATCTCTGGAAGCAGGGATCGCAGCTGTGGTTATGACAGCTGACCGACAGCTCCCCCTTTATAGACTGCTGGGCTCTGCAGAAGTAGCAGTGTCCAGGCCGGGTGGAATTGCTTTCCATTTCACGTTTTTGTCCAGACACCAAAGGGTTGTTTCAGAGCCCTTCCTACCAGGTTAGAGCTGTCCCTGTCCTCGCCTCCCGCCTCACCCCAGCGTTGCCTGAACAGCCAGCACCAAAGGCAGCGTGGCGCTGGGTCATGAGGTACCCCAGACTGTTGGTGAGCGTTTATTTTGTGATGGGTTTGTTCTATCAAAAAGACTTTCGGAGGGAGTTGACAGTATCCTGTGGACCTGCGTGTGTGTTGCGTGGCTGTCACTGTTGTAAGGGTGCCAGGGATGGAACCCTGGGCACAGGCGGCTGAGGCAGGGACCCTGCCCCAGCCCTCGGCCAGCCTTCCTCCGCCACACCACGCTGTCCGTCAGCTGTTCCTTGCTTTGCCTCTTCACTGGGATCCTGGGGAGTGGACCCGGCTCACCTGCACAGAGAGCTGCACCCCTGGGCCCTGAACCCCCGCCCCACTTACCTCTCCTTTTCTGTTCTGCTTATGTTCTGGTTGGTTGGTTGGTTTTTGAGACAGGGTCTTGCCGTATAGTCCAGGCTGGCCTAGAACTTGGGACAGTCCTCCTGCCCCAGCCCCGGGTGCCAAGGTGACAGGCCTGTGCTACCATTCCTGGCTGTAGTGTTTACTTTAAAAAGGTAACTGTGGTGAGTAAGTGGCTAGTAATGGGCATCTTTAAAGGTGAACCTGGAATATGTAGTCTGACAGTTTAAAATATCACTGCTGTGTAGCATTGATGTGAATTTAATCAGCAGGAAGCATTTCTTTAGTGACCAAAAGAGGTTTTTCCCAGCACTTTCGTTTAAAACAATAAAAGCAGTGATGCTTGTTACTGTGTTACGTACTGAGAACCTAGCGCTTATCGTAGAGGGCAAGGAAGTGGGCTCTGTCTTGTGCTTCCCTGAATCACCGCGGCCACAGCCCTAGTAATCAATTCCACGCCTGTCACTTTTGCCGTCCCTGGCTCCGGGCACTGTCTGGAGCTCCGGGAACACAGTCAGTCTCCCTGGACTATTGGAGCTCGTCACGTTTGTGGGGCTGACTCTGAATTCCAAGTGTCAGGCCTCCTGGTCACACCATGCGTGTCCCTAGGACAGGCTCAGACTTTTTCAAGTGACGCGAAGAGGAAAACTTGGCTGTCTGATCTCCTCTCGGCCACAGGCAACTCGGCATGTTGTTTTCACTCTTAGCACAGAATGCGGACTGAGGATGGGGGCTCCGGGGGAAGAGAGAGTCCCCCCAGATTTACTAGGTTTACTAATACTCTAAGCCAGAGGGAGCGGCAACGAGGAAGCCCGTTTCCTTGAGAGATCGCACATACCTGCCCAGGTCTGCCCCTTCTCCGTGCAGCCGAGCCCCGC